TGGCACCCAGGGGAGTCGCGCCCCAGTCGACGCTATCAACCATATCGAGAAAAGGCTCTTGGTCTGGCATAAAGTCCGGCAAGACTATAGGCGGCTCAGTGGTTGCTCGAACGATCCGGGGATAGGACAAGTCTTCTGCGGAGGACTCTGCTGAAGGCACTGAGGGCACGGTGGAAGTATGCGGGTGCAAGATACCGCTGCTAGACTCTCTGCCTCTTGAACCATCAAGGCGAATCTTTCTCGGAGGCTCTGAGGAGATTGGGAAGTCGTTGGAGCTCACAACAACCCATCTGGAAAGCAAGTTGTTCCGAGTCCAAAAGTGATTGTTATGCAGAAAAGATTGTGGTGTGTTGGCGTCTTGGGAAGTGATCCAGTCCCAGAATCTCGTATGGTCGCGGCTGGAGAGTGATCCTAGGACCTCGAAAAGAGCAGGCTTGCTCACCAGAGCCGGATTGCTGTAGACAACCTCGGCAAGCGCGGGGTCCTTGAATGAAGTTGGTAGCGCAACAACGAAGCTCGGTCGGGGGTCGGACTCGAGCAGATCAACAACGCCCACACCGAGGAGCGGGGGAGGATGCATGGCTGCAGGCAGGGTATGAGTCGTCCGCTCAGCCAAGGGATCGGCAGGTCTCGTTGTCAGTATCTGTTTTCTCTCTCATTCTCAACCAATCTTGGCCTGGAAGTAGAAGAGATCTTGCAGCCAGACCAAGTGCACAACTCTTTTGGCGCTGTCCCTTCTCTTCGATCTGCGGCTGGCTGGTGAAAGATGTCGTCGGTCCCGCCGGTTAAGATAGAGCCTGGATCGGCGGAATGCCCGCGCACGCAAAGTGGCTTTGGACGAGGTGAGGTGAGGCTGATGGGCGGGTTTTTGATGCAGGAGAAGGAGATGCGAGAAAGGCGCAGGCGCAAGTGGGAGAGCAGAGAAAAAGCGGCAGAAGCGAGCCGGGGTTGTAATGTGTGCAATAGTGGCCCAAAGTGGATGAGGCAGACGAGGGTGGTTGAGCTCGGAAGTTGCGATTCTGCTTGCCGGGTGGAGTTGAGCGCACGCGGCGGCACACCCAGTCCGTGGTGAGCGGGCCACCAAGTTGGATATTGGTTGGTTAGTTGCTGGCAGAGTCGCCCTGATGGGATTCGGCAGGACCCCCAAGTTGCAACCAAGCTTGTTAGATGGATGTCGCGGGATGTTCGCCGTGAATGCGTTGTCCGGGTGGTTGTGTAAATCTGCAGCGGTGGGTATCTCGCATCGGACCTTGGCCGATTTTCGGTTCGCTGGCAGTGAATTGGTCCAGAATGGGGATCCGCAGGCGTAGGGAAGAAGCCTTGATTCGACGTGCAGGCCAAGATGCGCGGTAGAAGTTACCTCGGAGTGAAGGTGTCCCAAGGTGAAGAAGAGGCAAGATGGGATGGCAAGACGGGCGCACTGGGAGGCCAGAACAGATGGTGAGAGGAGGATGATCACTGGTGGATGATGTGACGACCCTTTCCAATGGTTGACCGGGGTTTGGTGTCGGAGGGGGGCTGAACAACGGACGTCGCAATGTGGCTTGCTAAGCAGATGGCGGTCTCTTGGAAAAATAGCAGACTTGTATTCTTGGTGCCAACACCGGGTCAGTCTCTCCTTTGTCCTCACGGAGTGGCCTCGGTCTGACCTGAAGCTGGACAGAGCAGGTAGCGATTTTTGGTTGTCGCGAGATTAGCAGGCTGGCGATGCCAGATGGTGGAGATGGGCTTGTGAGAGGAAGCGAGAGGAAACGAAAAGTGCCTATCCGGGCAGTCAAGGTCAGGCTGGCAAGGAGGTAAGGTTTAGAGAAGCGGCATCCCAGGACTGGGCGGTGGAAAGGCGGAAAGACAAGGGACGGGGGAGGGACGCGGAACGGAATCCGATGACGAAGGCTCCTTCCTGCCAAGGTATCGTGACCCCGGCACGCGAGTCTTTCGAGTCTACTGTGTAATTGTTATCCGTATCCGTAGAGTCCAAGTAAGGTACCTAAGTGTGGATGGATAGAGTCCTGGACGATGGGGGGGCCAGTCGACGAGACGACAACCGGACGGCAGAAGTGGAAGGTGCACTAATAGGTTATAGGCGGCGGCAAAGAAAGAATGATTCAGTATGGCTTATTTCTTAGTGCCTCCGTCCCATGCCCTTTTGAGTCGCGCGTCTCAGCCCTCGCCCTCATGGTATTGGACAACTTGTCGCTCCTCCCCTCCTACGCTACGGCACGGCATGATGTCGATTGGGGTGGGGAGAGAGAGAGCCCTGTGGAGGCGGTCAAGAAGTATTCCAAGATTCCAAACTGCTCCGGTAGGTAAGCCAACGTGCCAACCTCACCTTAGGTCTAGCATGCATGGATGGAACAAGATGCCGATGTTCAGTGATATTGGGTGAGATTGGGGGATCCATCATCCGGCCCCCGAAGACCAATTTTAGAAGAAATCAACTTCCAGAGTGTCACCTCGAGCGTGGTATCCGATCGCAAAGGTTCTGAATTGGGCCAAATAGACCATGTCGTCCGCATATGCATCCGTACTTCTGCATCTGCCAGGGAAACTGCAGCAGCAAATGCAATAGAAGAATGAGAAAATTAAGAAGAAAAAAAAGGCTCCAGCCGGACAGCGCAGCATGGAACCGGGGGTGCAGGGGCAGGCAAAAAGTGGGAATGCTCAACACTCTCCGAAGGTCGACTTCCTTCCCCGAGAGCTCAGAAGAGAGGAAGAGAGAGAGCCTGAGAGGTCCCACGATTCCATCCGGTTCGCAAGTGGAATTAACGGCGCGGCAACCAATCATGGGCAGCCAGGGTTGCATCGTGCCTCCCTGAACCGTCTCTGCAGTGCTGCACTAAAAGCTTCGATGGAGACCCGGATTCGACGCTACAGGACCTGTCAACCCGTGCTAAATCGGATCGTCTTCTTCTCCGTCTTCTTTTAACGGATATGGCGCCTTCCAACCCATTCCACTTTGGCCCAGCCATCTCTGCATCTTGAGACCTTCCATCTCGATAAACAGAGCTTAGAGCTTATGGCGGAAGATCGACCCCTCCATTTTTTGAGATGTTCTAGTGTACTGAAAAATTGAGAAGGCGTGCACTGAGCGGTAATAGTTTCCAAAAAGATAGTTCAGCCCGCTCATTTGCCAGTGACATTATAGCCCCACGTCATCCCGACTTTCACACGTGGAGTCGCCAATAACAACCAACGTCCTCAACCCCCAATACCACCAACGCAGCCACCTTCCTTCCCCCATCCCGGCCACCTTTCCCACCTCAATTGCAACCATCAAAAAGCCAACATCGCTAGTTTCCGAGACTCCATCCGATATCTGTTTGTTTACCTACCTCCTCCCCCCCCTTTTTCCTGGTCACGCACCATACTCCTGCAATAGACATCTATCCTGTTCCTGAAGGCTGAAGAGAAAGAGAGTTTTCGGCCCTGGCGGCTGGCTGCACGCTGCTGCTGGTTGTCACATCGTCCCTTCCCGCGCTCCCGATATGCACATGATGTAAGCGCAGATTTGGGGGTTTGGCCTCTCCGTTAACCCTGACGTCACATCGCTTCCAGACGGCATCATCCTCGTTCCCGGAGTGGAAGGCACGGATTAGTTGCCGTTCGGCCAATCAGGAGCCACTTGCCAACGTCGTTACGAGTGAGCCAATGGAAACCTCGCAAATGGTCGTCGCAGGAGAAAGCTCCGGAGCAAAATCACCAGACACGACCACACCAGTGACCATAGACCAGTCGGATGGGTCTTGCAGATTCCAGGAGATGGGTACGTCTGTTCGGATACGGAGCCTCTGTACTACATGATACAGAGAGTTGCACACCCAGAAATCCGATCGGCAATGCACCTAAATTAATGACGCTCCCCAACCCCCTCGGCCGAGTTGGCTTTGTGCAGTTTTGGGGGTTTGGAAGCCGAGCTTCTGCTGAGGTAGGAATACTTCACCGAAAAAGGCCAACTGGTGGAGAGACACCGATCCTCGTCGTTTTCCATCGTTAAACCAATGCGATCCATCTGTAATTGTACACTACGCGAACACGATGTTGCACGGATAGCAGCCGAGTGTCTTACTTCATGAGACCTTCAACGTCATTACGCCATGCGGCGCTTTCTCACCGTTTAATAGCCAAATAACAAGCCCGCTTTGGCCCTTCAGCCAGCCACCAAAAAGCAATGCCAGAAGAATGTGGGTGAGATTAACGTTCTTGTCTGGACCTGATTGTTGAAGTCCGTACTCGCAGCTTCGACCTGGGTAACAAGATCATCCACCGGTCTTCTGAGTACAAACTGCCTCTGAATGCAAGAGATAAATTAACTTCAAAATATCCCGAAAATACCTACTCAACTCTCTTCAATTACCTTAGATTGTATTTACCCAAGTATTTTGACTTATTTAATGCTTAGTCGACCTTTGGTGGAAAGAGAGAGCTCAAGGAGACCGACGGATGAGCTTGTCGTCGCGTGGCTTCCCATCTTTGGAAGGTGAGACTGCACGGCGACGAACATTCCGCCAGATGTGAACAAGGCACGCGGAGTAACGAATTTGAAATCCCATTGTCTTTGCGACTAGATCCAAGGAGGTCGCTTTACTAAGTAGGTGGTCAAAGCTTGAACAATGTCGTTGTCACCACAACCGTTGATAGTATAGCTAGGATCTATCGCTAGACTCAGGTGTGTCCGATAACTCATTCGTGCTGGCACTCTAAGTGTCTAAGCTAATAATGCCGAGGCGAATCTGGATGCATTTCTCTCGATGCTCTCGTTCCTTTCGTGCCACTTCGTCTAAGCGAGCTTTGGAAATCGTCCTCTGTCTTGCCGTGCGCCTTGTTTCCTCCTGCCCAAGTGCCATTTGCTACCCCCCATGTCGCCTGCTTCCTCCAAAATGTGAAAGTGTGATATCAACCCAACGATGACCACCTCAGCGCCGTCTAAAGATCAGTTTCTTCGCATTGTCAAAAGTATGGAGATCCCACCACGGTGTGGGCTTACATCGCCGTTGCATCCTTTATCGCGCAGCAACCAGACTCATGTAGATACCCCAAGCGACACCCGCAAGAGAACCAACCAAGTTCCTACCCTCAATGCTCTTGATAAAGGCAAAGTTCACCAAACTGACCATGGGCCACAACTTCAGACCCGCAATGAAGATGGGCACGAACTCGAGCTGGCTCTTGTCAACGACGGACCGCCAGTCGACATTGCTATAATCAATGGCGCCACGAGAAAACAGGAAGGTGCCCGAGTGCTGCGCAGCCGCGAGGTGCTCCGGACGCACCATGGCCGTCTGGATGCTGTGCATAAACATGCTGAAAGCGAGCGTGTTGAGCGCGGCGCCGACGGTCTGGTCGAGGGCCAGCTTGATAAGCGTGTTGCGGATGTTGAGCTTGGGCTCCACGAGCTGGTCCTCGCGCGCCTCGCGGTCGAGCGCTTTGTCGTCGTTGGCCGCGGCCGAGGCGATGGCCTTCTTGGTGGGCGAGACGTGATAGGCCGGGAAACTCTCTTCGAGGAAACCTTGCCTGGTATGTGTCAGTGATGACGGTCTGGGGTACGACGCGTATCGTGCATGCAGGTAGAACAGGGATCCGTGATGGTGAAAGACGAGTGCTCGCTGGGAGACCCACCACAAGAAGTTTGGCGGCGTGCTAAGGAGGGTGAAGATGATAAACTGGAAGACAGGGACCCAGTCGATGACGAGTTGTTTCTGGTCGTGGTGTTAGCAAGAAGGTCTCGGATGATGATCAAACAACGCAATAATATATGATGACTCGGCACATCGTAGAGCCCATGAGTCTCGGAATTCCATACATCGGTCTGATAAGCCGTGAGGACCTGGGCCAGTATGTTCGAAGTGCCACTAAGGGCAGCAGACTGCAAAGTTGCAGTGACGATGGGAGGGAGCGCCATAATGGTGACTTGTAAGTATGCAAGCTTGACTTTGATTTGCTGAAGATGTGAAATGAAGTTGTAACTTTAGATGAGCGATCCAGACCGTTGTGCCGGGTAAACCACGGCAGGTGTACTCTTGAGAGGCGTCTTCAAACCGAGGTGACGGGAAGCAGAGGACGGAGATAAGAACGGATGGCGTCCTTGATTGAAGAAAGGTGCCTGAAGACGTCGAAACTTATATGCGACACTGCGTGAGGAACTTGAGTCAATTATAAGTTGCAATCTGTTCAATAACCCTTCCGAGCTGGAGCATTTGTAATCGGCAGAAGTTGAGGCTTGACGGGATGCAGGGCCGGATGTTGGAAGGGCTGTGGAGGGAGGAGCGACCCCGGCTTGTGGAGGTGTGGCCGGTCTTCCAAGTTCGGACCGGCGAATCACTGATGACATGCCTGATTTGTGGGGCTCCTGACAGCTGTCCCTTCAAAGCAAGCTAGAGCTCCAATAGGCTAGACAACGTGGCTGCTCACTTACATGGTTCCAGGCACAATAGGCAACAAGCATCGAGGGTCACAAAAGCGAGTCTCACTGGGCTTGAGCATAGCTATTGTGTCTCATAACAGGTCGACTTTAATTGGGAAGAAAATGCCTAGAAAGGCTGCCGTCTTCATAAATGTCAGCAAAGTTGATTCGCTGCAGAGGACTTTAACGCGCCCTACTAGCGCAACCTTATTGGGTGAGTGACACACAGGCAGCAAAGAGCTTGCATGATGTTTTTCCACAATCTTCAATGCACCGGTAAGGTAGGTACTACAATACAGGTTTCTAACGTTTGTTTTGATTCGCGTCCCCTTCATCGTCTCAACTCGTGCTCGTGGATTGCCCCTGGTGACAAGCTCCGACTAATCCTATAGTACAGGGATAGAGCTTCTTCATCTTCGGGTACTGTATAGCTAGCCCCCCAATATGGTAGAGACTCTACACAACAAACAACGCAAGCGGCTAGAACGATGCGTCGTTGTTGAATCTAACAATTTATCTTGACTGTCCGATAAATCGCACATCACTAAAAGCTGACTTGACCGGCCATCCCTTCCTTGTATCTGACCACCTAGCAAGCGCATACCCAGCTACTCCCGGACTCCTTTTTCATGTTGACCTTTTCTACAGAACGGTGCTTTTGGCGTAAACTTTACCTGGTCGTGATCGTCTTCAAGGCCTCGACAGGATCCACATGAAAAGTAGCTGGACAACGTAGGAGTAGAAGAAGAGGAACTGGGTCCTCTGGTTTCGCTTGGCTCGTGAATCGCCAGTCTGCATAGGACCGGCACCGTTGGCTGCGTTTTCAGGGAGCAGAACATACTTGAGCGAACGCATCTGATGACATTGTTAATCTCTTGAATCACGTGGCGACTTGTGTGAGGACATACCAAGAACAGCGAGTTGGCCAAGAAAGTGTAGAGGAACACGCCCCAGCCAATCCACCCGCCGGTACCCTTGCCACCATTCAGGATCTCAGCTACAGTGACAGTGACGATGATGCCGACAAACTTGTAGCCGGAGTATGCGATCAGATCGTAAAGCTGCGAATCGTTCGAGATGCCCAGCAAGTAGCACCCCAGCTTGAGACCGAGAATCTCCGCCATGACTATTACTAGGGCCGTCGACGCCGTGTATCCGAGAAGTTCTGGCTGGAATTGGCCGCGGAGACCAGCAAGGAGCGTAGAGAGAAGGATGTACGTCACGACAGCCATGACGGGGATGTACATATCGGGGCTGTTGATGTCGTCTCGCGGAGGAAGGTACCATCCCTCCTGTCCGCTAGGCCCAACGGACTGCTTGCGCGACCATGGCTTGTGCCTCCAAGGGAAGAGGACGAGGACTATCTTGTTGATGACGTAGGAGTTGGAGACGTTGAAGTAATGCTTCAGGGCGTTGACGTTAACGTATCGGTTGAACTTCAAGCAGAGTTAGCTTCAGTAAAAACTTGATGCATCTCGATAGTTGACCGGCGAGACGCTTAGAGGTCTGCCTCCCCGTCCCTAGACTCGACGTACGTTTTGCTCCATGTACTCCTGGCCATGCTTGAAAGCCGTCTGGCCAAACTGCGCTGCCACTTGCGCCGTGGGATCATTCATAAACTGTCCGTATGCGCCGAATACGTTCCCACTCGTACCGCCTTGCTGTTGGTAAGGGCTGCCACCGTAGCCTTGTTGCGATTGCGATTGCGACACGGGAGGAGGGGGCGAGCGCAACTGGGGAACCGTAGAGACATGCTGGGGTACGGGGTGGTGCAAGGGGGGTGACTGCCCGTAGGTTTGTGGACGCTGCATGATGTGCAAATGAGCTCGTGGTTTCGTTTTCTGTTCGCGAGTATCGTTCGATGGGGTTTGTCGGAAGATTGTGAAGCTATGTTGGATTCGACGGTGGCGTGGGTGTTGGGATGCCTCCCTTCCAGGTTCTCTGAGTCCACGTCGTCTTTGGCGGGCCGCGATGGAGCTGGTACGGAAAGGTGTTTACTTCCATAAATGTCCCACATTGTCCAGATGAGCAGGACAGGTAGCGGTGGCCCAAAGGGGCTTAGCTCAGATTTCTCCTTGGCCAGCTCAGCACGAGCCCTCTCGCGGGCCTTTTTGAGCCGCTAGAAGGCCTGGTGCCGGCCGGCGAGCAGCTGTCAATGGGCTGGGATCAGCGCATATCGATCAACGACTCTTCTTTCTTACCTATCTCAGAGGTATCACCAATACCTCTATTATCGTCGCTTTTCAGGCTTCTCGAGGCATATTCTTGTAAGATGTACGGACATCAGTATTCTACATAGGACATGTCTTCTCATCCGTTGTACGGAAGTCGTCTCAGAAAGTCTCATACTACCAAGCATCGTAACTCCATGTTCACGCCATGGAGCTAGACCTGCCGTTGGGGGGTCGATTGGGTATCTTTTTACAGGTGCAAAGAGAGGCTAAAACCAGTTGATATAACGACTAGAGGCAAAGCTCGCTAAGCAAGCAAAGACGCATACCTTGACTGGAGTTACCTTCAATTTCCATCTGTGTACTCCAAGGAAGCAACTCAATCATAAGGTAAGGTAGAATAGGAGTAAGGTCTCAATCCGTACTGTGTAGGCCGCCCTCTTACTTGTCGAAGATACAGTGCTAGTACAGTGTGAAATACCCACATGCTCCGAGCTTATCGATAAGAAAGGGTACTCCAAGGCCAAGGGTTCACCCACCCCAAGGGCCCAAAGGAGCGTCCAGCCCACTTCATTGACCACGGGTCTTGCGCCACAGGCCAGCTTTTGGGATCGAGGAAGTCGCCTCCAACTCAACTCTCACCCTCTCTCCTCTTCCGCCAGTCCCCGAGTCTCCACGATCTTTGGTGTCGCCGCAGATTACGAAACCGAAACCGCGTACAGAATGTTAGACACGTTCGAGATTCTGACCACCTCTGGGGTGGTCCTCTGGTCCAGAACCTATGCGCCGGTCAACCCGTCCGTGATCAACAACTTCATTGCCGATGTCTTCATCGAGGAGAAGGGCGGCGCTGCCTCCAGCCAGTCCGCGGCTAGCAATCCCCCATATAAGCGCGACCAGCACACATTACGGTATACGTTTGTCAAGGAGCTAGGTGTCATCTTTGTGGTATGGAAATCTAGCAGCAGCCAATGCGCCGCGCGCCGCCAAGCCATGATGCTGACGAGGTGTGCGAACAGGCTGTTTACAGATCACTGCTTCACCTGTCATGGATTGACAAGCTCGTCGACAATATCAAGACAATCTTTGTAGATCTGTACGGAGAGCAATTGACGAAGCCGCACACGACAGTGGTCGAATGCCACAAGTTCGACGAGTACTTTGACCAACAGGTCAGAGAGCTGGAGACGACGGGAGCAAAGGGCGACTCCAACGTCTCAGAAGCCGACTTCGCAAAGGAGGAGAAGACACTGTCTGGAAACCTCGGCGATGACCCTCCCCTTCCTCCGGGTCTGCACTATAGGGGTAGGCCGAATGCGCCGTGCAGGTGTATCAGTGTGCAAGCAGCTAACAAACCCCCTTCCAGGTCGTGGTCTAAACAGCGCAAACGAAACCTCCAACGATTCGACTCCCATCGCGACGCCGACGACCTCTCGACCCTCGACTCCCGGCACCGGTGGCGTGTTAGTAGGCAAGGCCGGCCCCGTCGCCAAGATGTCGCGGCGCGCGCGGAAGGCGGGCAACTCTGCGCCCCTTTCTTCAGGCGACGAGTCCGCCGGCAGAAGACCCAAGCCCGCGACGAGATCATCAACGAAGAAGGGCCGCAAATGGGACGCAGACGGTATGGCCGACGAGGAGGACGACGTGGTGCTTGACTACTCGGCTGCTCCGAAGTCGGCGACGAGCGACTCGGAAGCCGAGACGACCGCCCGCTCCTCCGCCGTCGAGCACGTCGATCACACGACATGGGGGTCCAAGACGTCAAAGGGTCAATTCGTGCTAAAGGACCTAGACGATGAGGTACACAACATCCTCGCCTCGGCGCAGGCCAAGAACGACTCCTCCAACAAGACGGAGGCATCGGGCGGGCTTATCGGGTCCGGCCTGAGCACGATCGGAGGCCTCTTCCGCAATGTCGTCGGCGGCAAGACGCTCTCAAAGGCGGATCTCGACAAGGCGATGAAGGGTATGGAGGAGCACCTCCTCAAGAAGAACGTCGCGCGCGAGGCCGCGGTGCGGCTCTGCGAGGGTGTCGAAAAGGAGCTCCTCGGCGCCAAGACGGCCAGCTTCGAGAGCATCAACGCAAAGATCCAAGCCGCTATGGAAGCCTCCCTAACAAAGATGCTCACCCCGACGTCCTCGCTCGACCTCCTCCGCGAGATCGACGCCATCACCGCCCCGCCCGCGACCTCCCTCCGCAAGGCCCGTCCCTACGTCATCTCCATCGTCGGCGTCAACGGCGTCGGCAAGTCCACCAACCTGTCCAAGATTTGCTTCTTCCTCCTACAGAACAAATATAAGGTCCTCATCGCCGCCGGCGACACCTTCCGCTCCGGCGCTGTCGAGCAGCTCGCTGTGCACGTCCGCAACCTCAAGGAGCTCACCGTCCGAGAGGGTGGCCGCGTCGAGCTGTACCAGAAGGGCTACGGCAAGGACGCCGCCACCGTCGCTCGCGACGCCGTGGCTCACGCCGCGCAGGACGGCTTCGACGTCGTCCTCATTGACACCGCCGGACGCAGACACAATGACCAGCGTCTCATGTCCTCCCTGGAGAAGTTTGCCAAGTTTGCTCAGCCCGATAAGATTCTCATGGTCGGCGAGGTAAGACTCCCCCCTCCCTCTCACATTCATAACCAAACAACTACTGACCTCTCCCCCAAGGCCCTCGTCGGCACAGACTCGGTAGCCCAAGCCCGCAACTTCAACGCGGCTTTCGGCTCCGTCCGCACCCTCGACGGCTTCATCATTTCCAAATGCGACACCGTCGGCAACATGGTCGGCACCCTCGTCAGTCTCGTCCACGCCACAAACGTCCCCGTGCTCTTTGTCGGCGTCGGTCAGCACTACTCTGACCTACGCAATTTTTCTGTAAAGTGGGCTGTTGAGAAGCTCCTGAGCAGTTCGTAAGGTTTCGCTTTCTCTCTCCTTGGTGGGAAAGAAGACTATAGAGGGGAATGTATAAATCACCTTTTTAATATGAAATGAGATGAAATGAAATCAGATTAATGGGGGGTTTCCATGGCGAGAACCTATGATACTACCCAAAATTCAAGCATTGAAATTGTTCAGGTGATATGCGTAGTTAGTCGTCCTTCACGTACCACGAACGCACTTTTGTACCGTCCATCGTCAGCAACTCCTATTTCGCCATGTGAACCCTCGTCATAAGAGTCCCGTTGTAAAAGTTCAATGATCGAAATTGATTTAGCCAAATCAGGCGTGCGAATTATTACTATAGACTTCTTTGGTGTGTAGTGTAATAGGTAAGTAAGCAAAGGGGTTGGGCTGCAGTTAACATAACCAGGCCAAGTAAAAGGTAGAAGCAAGCCAAGCCCATAGACCCAGCAAGCCAACACGCTATACTCATGCCCTTCAACACCTCCTCTCCCATTTCATCGTCATTTTCTTTCCCGCTATGCATCGGACCGAAAACAGAGAAAAACAAAGGAAATTAAAATTTAGCCCTCTCATCCTCGTTCCCCATCGGAGAGGAGATACTACCCCCTCCCCCGTGAGGTGTGATTACAAGAAGGTAAAATCCACGATTCTGAGTGTTTGTATATGAAAATCCTCCTCCAATACCCTCAGTGGATTGTAGTGTAGTAGAAGTAATCTTGCGAAAAAGGGGGTATCATCATTCTAGTGTGTCCATTCTTTTGGGCTCAAAAGCATGCTGCGTGATAGAGAGAGAGAAAGATTGACTGCGGTGCGAAAGACAAAGGAAATCCTCCACGGTCCCACGTTTCCTTTCACTCATCACTGCTCCTTCTTAGTCCTCGAAGAAGTCAGTGTCGTCAAAGTCGCCCGGGTGAGCATCTGAGTCGTAGCCGCTTGACCGCATCATCGGAGGAGTCATGGGCTGTTGGGAACGGCTCGACGGACGGCGAGCGGGCGGGCTCTTGAGGGGCATCGGCTCGGATGGCACCTCCGTGATGGACGGTCCTCGGTTCCTGGCTTGCAATTGCTGAGCCGTGTACCGACGTCCAGTGGTCTGGAACGCCGTTGGTTGAGGTTCCTCCGCACGCGTAGCGTTCGAAGGAGGGGTCTGACGGAGACCGGAAGCCGGCGGGGTCATCAGTCCGTTGTGGTTGTTGCTGAAAGAGGCCGACGCGGTAGATCGGGACGGGGTGTGGTTGCTGTTGACAGTAGGACGGGCCGTAGAGGGCCTACCGCTTCGTCCGCCAGAAGCAAAGATGGGTTGTTGAGATTTGCGCCAGTTACCCCAGGCTGCAGCCAGGGGTCCTACAGCTTGAGCAACACGAGGTGATGCAGCCTCCCGAAGTGACTGTGCAATGTTGGGCAGATTGATTGCTGATCCGCCATTCATCGCACGCTCGCGTTCCTGTTCCTCCATTTGAAGGTTGGCCTTGAGACGGATGGACGCATCCTTGACGGCTTCCCTGTCAAAGTCTTCGGCAGAGACGGCAAGGATGATGTCTTGCAAATCGCCATGTCTCACGGCAAGAAGCTCGCGCAACCAAGTGATCTCGTCATCACGCTTGGCAATCTTGGTAGGAGCTTCGGGATCCAGCTTGTCGACGGTAGACTCGAGCTCTTCGATGCGCTGCTCGCGTGCCTGCAACTGCTCTTGCAAGACCATGATGGACTCCCGCAACGCCTGGGGCGAAATCTTCTCTGGGAGATCCATGGCCTTCGACACAACGGGTGCGGCAGGTGCCACGGCCTTGGGCTGGAAAGATGCGGTGGGCAGAGCGGCTGGCTCGACACCTGCGGACTTGGCAGCTTGAGCGGCAGCACGAGCGGCTTCCTTGGCGATCTCGAGCTTCTCTTCCAAATGTGCGACACGGTCTTGGAGATGTTCGGTCTTGGACGTGGACAGGCTGAGACGCTCGAGGAGGTGCTGCTCGGTCTTCTGGCCATCTTCGACGGCGTTGCTCAGCTGGCGCTCCCAGCGAGTCTGGAAGTCTTCGAGCTCGTTCTGGTGCTTGCGCTTGAGTTCCTCAATGGCATCGGTCTTGCTGGTCTGAGCCTCCTCCATCATCATCTCAGACTGAGCCTTGGCAGTCTCAACGTCCATGTTGGCCTGATCAACTTCGGTTCTAAGCTTAGCGACCTGCTCCTCGAGTTCTTCACGAACAGCATTGACGTGGTGGTTGGCTTCGTCAATCTCGCGCTGCATGGAAACGCGCGTGCGCTGAACCTCGGCAATGCCAGACTCTCTCGCCTCCTTGAACTCGCTCTGGTATCGCATGGCAGACTGGTGAAGCTTGTGGTTCTCGGTCTTCATCTCGCCAAGCAGACCCTCGAGACGCTTGCACTCATTGACGGCGCGCATGCCTTGGCGTTCACCGTTCTCGAGTCTCTCCATTTCGGCTTCAATCCGTTCGCGCGTACGGGCCTCGGCTTGGAGCTTAGCATCCAAGACCTCCTGACGAGCAACGAGTTGCTGCTCCCGCTTGGTGCGACGAGCATTCTCCTCGGTGATGTCGCGGGCTGCCTTGGCCATGTCTTCCTGGAGGGAGACAAACTTAGCACGCCAGCTTTCCCTGACGCGCTCGTTCTCCTGAAGCTGAGTTCCAAGGGTGTCAATGAACTTCTGCATGGCCTTGTTCTCTTGGAGTGTCTCGGTGAGATCGATCTGTTGTCTGCGGGCACTCTCAACCACGCGCTCTGTCTCGGATCTCCAGCGGTTAGCCTCGTGGGTGGCGCCTCGGACCTCGTCCTCCATAGCGTTGATCTTGTTGGTAAGTTCGGTCTGCGCCTGGGTAGCGTTGGTTTGAGAAGCCTCCATGAGTGCCATGCGCATCGTCTGCTTGGAAGCGGCCTGTTCAAAGGCCTTGAGCTTGTGGTCTCGCTCCTCGACTTCCTCACGGAGACGAACCTCCTCTTCGCTGGCAATACGGAGTAGACGCTGAACCTCAGAGAGTCTATCTTCGGCGGTTCGGCGACCGTCAAGCTCTGCTTGAGTGCGCTCTTCCTGGTGTCGAAGCTTATCCTCCAGGTCGCTAACGCGATGATCGAAAATGCTCTTGTTCATGATCTCGACTTCAACGCGAGTTTCGGCGGCCTGAAGCTTTCTGTCGAGCTCTGCCGCGAGATCTTCGGCGGCGCGGCGATCGGCAACCTCCTTCTCAGTCTTGCTACGCTCGACATAGAGGCGCTCCTCGAGATCCATAACCTTGGCCTGAAGCTCACTCAATTTGTTGTTGACGGCCTCATCATGATCACGATCTGCGGTCGGCTGTTGAGACGGAGTTTGCATGCGCTTCTCGACAGCTTCTTCGACAATGTTTCGTAGATCTTCGCCGCGGAAATCAAGGCGCATCGAAGCGCCAAACTGCTCTCTCATCTCCTCCAAAGCCTTCAGAACAGCAGTACTAGAGGGCTCGTCGGCAACAGGTGCGGAAATTTGAGGCACGGAAGCGGCACCACGCTGCTGAACAGCAAAAGCATCGAGTACAGCAGCACGGATTTGTTCCATGCGCTTGTCGCGGCGCGGACTAAGCGAGCGACGAGGCACGGGCTCTTCATCCTCATCATCAGCGTCACTGTGTTGAATATCGGCAGAGACACTGCGGCGGACGGAAGACGAAGCTCTTCTGTCGCCTCGGAGGGACTGCTTGATGGACAGCAGGGTCTTCTCCAGGGGACCCAAGCGAGCGGAAAGCAGATCGCCGACGGCTTCGTTGACGCGACCGTCGAAGAACTGGACGCGCTGCTCCAACTTGGCTTGCTCTTCGTCGCTGAAAGCACCTTCCCAATCGCTCTGTGCAGCACTCTCTTGGCCAACCAGGTGGGTAATCGGAGCATCGAATGACTGTGCACTCAGCGGAGGATCGACAAAAGGGTCCTCCAATTCCGTAGTCGGCATAGCCGAGTTGTCGGCGGGGAGGCCATGGTATTGGCGCACAGGGCTGGAAGTTCCGCTGCGGTATTGGCTGCCGGCCTGCATCTTATACGGCGACAAGTTGGTAACGCCAGCGACCTGGATCTGTCTGTTAGGGCTGGGCTGGTGCCATCTGGTGGCCTCATCGTTGGCCTTGTTGACACCAAATGTCGGATCATTCTGGTTGAGGTGATTCATGATATCATCAATCTCCTCGAAAGTTGGCTCATGTTGCTCATTACTGGCATCAATCGCCGACTTGGACGGGAAAGTGAACTCGTGGGCATTGGGCTCATCGAGATACTCTTCTCCCTCAGAAACAACATAGTCCTCAGGGATCTCTCCCTCTTCCAGAGAGTCTTCGTAATCATCCTCTCCAACGTTACGCGCAGGTGACGGAGACGCAGCAAACCGAGACGCGGAAAGACCCTTGGTCTTGGGCGGGCTTGCGAAGCGAGAGGCGCCCAGTCCCTTGGGTGCTGTGAACTTGGGAGGTGTCGGTGCCCGAGGAGATGGCTCGCGAGGTGGCGAAACCGGAGCAGGTGCCTCGGTGCTGGGCAGGATTGGCTCAACGGTGTCCTCTCTGTCACGCTCATCCTCCTCGTCTTCATCGGTTTCGGTTGCCGGAGTAGGCGCCCAACCGCCGCCGGGGATGAAAGCTCTCGCAGTCGCAGAGAGCGACTTGTTGTGGCCCTTCTTGTACGTGTCAATACCAAAAGGTCGGGCTTCAGCAAAGCTTTGAACATCGTTGTTTGAGTCAAATTCGAAGGGCGCCCAGTTCAGGTGCTGCTGGTCAGGCGAAGTATCCGAGGGGCTAGTAGCCGTGACAGCCTTGGAGTCGGCGGGGTGCTCGGAAGCAACGGTGGAAGACATGGTAGTGTCGGCGGGCGTGTAAGCTTGCTCGTCAGAGGCATCCTGCTCCTCTTTCCTTGGCTGGAGCGACTGCAACGTAGTAGGTTCGGGCGATGGCTCAGCGAATAGAGGAACATCGTCCTCGTCTCCTCTTGACGCCTTTGCCCTCTTGAAGCGAGATTCGTCAATCAAGCGACCATCTGCATCATCCGGAAGATCGTCTTGAGATTCATCATGGTTGTTATCGCTGCTGCTGGGACGGATAATTGGGACGGCCTTTGACTTCTTGGGAGGCTTGACAATGTCAGAAAGGTTCAGATCAATGTTGCCGAAAATCGAGCTAGTCCGGTTTCCAGCGCTCTCGCTGCCCGACACAGGGCTGGTGACAGAATCCGAAACATTTCCAAAGGGTGTGAAGGCGGGTGCATCCGGTCGAAACTTGGGACCAGAGGCAGAAAAGCTAAAGTCGCTCTGACCAGGTGAGAAGACAGGGGCCGCGGCATTAATCTTGGACGACATGGACCCTGCACCAAATGAGCCTGCTGACGGGGAAGTGACTGACGGGGCGAATGATCCACCGCCGGCCTGGAAGACTGAAGGCTGGAAGCTGTTGCTACCAGCACCGAAAGTGAAGCTCGTCTTCGACTCGTGGCCTGGGTTAAACTTGAACTCGGGTGCCTTGACGTTGAGCTTGGAGAGCGAGGGCTTGCTGGCATGGCTGGGTCTCCTCGGCATGCCAGAGTTGCTTGACATTGACGAGACATCGTTCCAAGGATTGCTCGTTGTGGAGAACGATCGCTGGTGCTGCTGCAAGAGCGTTGTGAGGCTGAAATCTTGTACGGGTGTACCGAGATTGCTAGGGTTGGTCTCAATCTCCGCCGCCTCATCGATCCGCTGTGCGTCAACCTCGTGCCATCCGGCCAAACTATCGCCGCGGGGTCGGGTCTCGTCATGGTGAGAGAAGAAGTTCTGGGACAAAGAGTGGCCACGGCTGTGAGGGCGCGGGTGGTGAAGGACAGGGCCATCGCCGCCTTGAGGACCGAACTGCTTGGGAAGCTGCTGGGGTGCTTGGAACTGGACCGATGCTTCTCTGGCATGCGCAAGAGGCTGCTGTTGAGAGAAGTTGGCCAGCTGCTCAGCTGCAGCTTCCTCGTTATGGGGGCTGTAGTCTTCGTGCTCCAACTCGTTGCGCATCTGCTCCTCCAAGTGGTACTCGGCCTCGTCAATCTCTGCCTGGAGGTCATCGTCGTTGATTTGTGCAGGCTCTGCGGGCTTCATGTTTGTCTCTTCGTGTGCCTCCTCCTCTTCCTCTTCGTCTTCTCGCACCTCTTGCAGACGAGGTGATGCGCGCGCGGGTTGCTGTTGCTGCTGCATGAACTGCTGATGGGGCATCATAGGGTACTGCAAAGATTGGTGACGCTGGTGCGCATTGAAAGCAGGGCTGCCAGTCGGCGCAAACCCTTCGGGCATAAAAGGGGAGACTGGAGAGAGGATTCCGTTCAGCAAATTAGGCGACTCTGTTCTATGCGGACCTGGCCAGCCTAGAGGCGATGGTTGGCCTGGCATCTGGAAAGGCGAGTGGCCCATGGGAACCGAAATCGACTGTCGATTATTGTACTTGGCAGGGTGACTACCGAAGCCAATCGGCGAGGCCATGCTCGGGCTGTGACTGTGACCTGCAGAAGAACGCCCACCGGGTATGAACTGCGGCGGGAATGGATAGCCTTGCACATGATTGCTCGATGCTGAGGATTTAGGCAATGGCGGAGAAAATGGTAAAGGCGGATATTGCGCAGAGGCTTGTCGGCTGGGCTGTGATACTGCAGGAGATATTGAAGGCGCCGGGGGATCGTCGTCGCCGAATGACACTCCAAGAGCTCGCAACTTGGCTTCGTTAAGCTCATTGACGTAGTCTCTCCAAGCTGCACAATATTTAGCATTCCTATCGCCTTCCCTCTGTTCAATACAGGCTTACCGTTCAAATCAGGCAATGTGACTTTGTATGTATGTTGCGCACGTTCTCGAACAAGGTCCTCGGGGCTAGGCCAAGCGTCTCGACTCTGGGAGTATCCAGTGGGGGCTTGGTACGTGCCCTCCGCAAGATCCAAATCGAAGCCACTGATATCGTATCCAAGCTCTTCCCACGATCTAAACATGCCCTCGATTTCGTTCTGATTCAACGGCTTGGGTGCATGGCCGGGACGTCCGCGTTCCTCGTCTTTGGGAAGAAGAACCATAATATTCTTGCCCTTCCAAGGGATCTTCTTCTTCACCCGAGGCGTCATGCTGGGCTCTTTGATCGTCACTCTGGCCGATGCACTCCTCATTGGTGTAGTTGGCGTCCTCGCCGTGTTGCCGACAGCGGCACTAGCGCTCCGTCTGGGCGTTGTGGGGATTGGTGGGAGGTCTGGCAGGTCGCGGGCCAAGTCGGCCTTGGACAGATCTGGACTCTCCATCTTCGCGTTTGTGGTCTCGCCTTGAGGCTTCACGTCTTCTTGCTTGAGGGTCTCAACGCTGGATCGGGTTCGAGGATAGCGAGGTTCCGTGAGCGTTGCGCGCGTTAGGCGTGGTCGGGCCCTAGGGGTTCGCAAAGATTCCTTATCGTGCCAAACAGCTTCGTCGCCAGATCCTGAGCCGCTCAGTGAAGAGTGCTCGCTTCCGTCGCTGAACCAATGTCGGCCCTCAGTATGATCACCCGCCGTGTGCTGGCGAATCCAATCTTCAGTCAATCGTCGCGCAGGTCTCCGAGCGCGATTAGCAAGAACTTGAGCTGCGCTGAGGTAGGGCTCGTGCGATTCGTCCTGTCCAAACGAGAGCGATGGAGGAGGTCGAAGAAAGGGAGTGCTGATGGCAATGTGATGGATGGGCGAGCCTTCGGATTGATCGCTGCCGATGCTCTCGCGGCGAATGAGGTTCGTCTCTTCAGTTGAGTAAGGCGAGCCCCAGCTAGCTGTCACGTATCTCTCCTCGTCTTCGGGATTGGATTGGTTTTGACTTCTGAGAATTTCCCGAGCTCGGTCGGGGAGTCTGGGCGCGGGAAGCGAAGGTAAAATTGGGGAGGACCCAAGGTCCTCGCCGTCGGCAGCTGTGGACGTCGATGAGAGGGCGGGAGACGTTGGCGGCGAATTGAAGGATGGACGATAAGGTCCTGTGCCGTCCTGTGCGGGTGCAGCAGGAGGAGAATGGGATTGCTGGGAAGAAGACGTCTTCGTGGGACTCTGTCTCAATCAGGAATGGGTCCAAGAAAAGACGTGGCGTGGTGAATGGACGCTCAAGATATCCGTATCACGCCGGGAATGTAAAGGTGAGGATGCGGTGAGGTGTAGCTTACCACGGTGAGATCAGCGCAGACGATGGGAATCGTCTGCAGCCAAGTCTCTAAGTATTGGCGTCGAGGACCCTTTCTTCAACAGCCCTCAAAAATCGGCATGCACACACAACGAAGCAGGCCGCGAGAGAAAAAACGAAGGGAACGGACGGGCGCTGTCGAGATTGTTGACAGGAATAAGGGGGTGGAGGAGAGGCGGCCCGTGTGATTGGGGATGGATGTATGTGTATATTTGGGGCCGATGGGTGGTTTTTTTGGTCGCGACGCGTATCCGCAGGTAGCCCAGGTATCTTTTTGTTAGGCGGACAGGGAAGGGGACCGACGGAAAAAAAAAAAAAAAAAAAAAAAAAGGACAGCCAGCAGAAATAAGGTATTATTTTGCAGGTGGTGACCCAGTGCAGGGATTAGAGGGAACGGGGGGGCCGTTGTAGAAAGGAACTGAGAGAGGGAAATTATTGAATAAGGAGCGACATAAGGAGAGAAGGCAGGCAGAGGCAGCATGCGGTTACCGGACGCATCGGATTACAGGTTGAACTACACGTATGAGGGCGATTCCGTCGATATAGCACGATGCGGCGGGCTTTGGTGGAGAGACAGAGGAGAGAGGATGGAAATGTCGATAAGGTACGTGATGTGTCAGGAGCAAGGTGGGAAGTCAGTGAGGACAGGACAGGATGGCGAGGCAAAAGGCAACCTGGAAGGACACATGGGAAGCCTAGGTAGGAATTATTGGCTAGTTCCCTTTCCAAAGTTCTCGTTGGAGATGGTGCCGGCCGATTAAGTGATCAAGACTTAGGTTAAGTGTACACTACGGATGGTATATAAGGTAGGATGGCCAGGAAAATGAAGGGACTCGATGTACATGCACAAGACTGGGAACGGGGTTTTGACAGGAATGGCAAGGTACAGGTACGCGCACGGGAAGGAGCAGGTACAGCAGAGCTAAGGCACGACCGCCAGCCGAAGACAGCTCACAAAAGGCTGCCTTAGTCCCGCTACATACCTTAGTACAGGGTACATATCCGTACCTTACCTTTGGAAGCAGTTAGGAAGGCAACTTGGCAGACTTTCTTGGTTCCGTTACCTAAACGTTTGACACCTTTGTGCGCCTTTGTTGAACAGAAACCGTCAAGTCCCTCAATGCAGTGACAACCACGACTGGATAGTTCATCTGCACCGGCACGGATTCGTGGACACTCGAGAAAGCAAAGGAAGGGATACCTCCGCCTCAGGCTTCCGGGTTCGAGTAGACGTGGAGACCTTGATTCGGTGGTCCGGCACCAGTGGCACGATGAGATTGGACGGCTTGAAATGGGCCTGAACTCCACGAAAGACAGCTGGCATTTTCTGCCTCCGACTTTGAACTTCGGGGCCCTTCTTTTCCACTCGTGCCAGCCAACCTGCGAGCACATGAACGAATGTCATTGGGAAAACGGGGCAGACAAGAGTGACAAGCTTGGAAGAGATGGGGCCTCCCCTGCCCGCTTCCCAATGGGATGGACCGGGGGAGTGCGACTCACCAGGGACAGGCTGTCCAATCCACGCGATTCCACTCACAATGCACGGGGCGAAGAGGAACGTCGACGGCACGATGGGCCACTCAGCGGCCCAGCTTTGTTTTAATGAGAGTCCACGGGGTCGAGCTATGACCAGCCCAATCTCGCCTTGTTTGGTCGATACTCCGATACATCCAAAATAGCTTATACATTTGCGAGATCAAATGTACTCTTTTACCACCGTCAAATGCCCCCGGAAATCGCCTCCCCTACTACTGCATCGCATCTGGAGCTGTGGGTGATTTCCCGCTGGATTAGAGGCCCCGCCGCTTGGATTCCTACACGACATCGTATTTGCCAATGGCTCGAATGTCCGGCCCGTCACGCTCGTGCTCAGACTGCTACATGGACAGCTTCTTGAATAATGCAGAGAAAAACCGCTTTGTTAACAGGTAAATGGATCCGGTGTCAAAGTTGGTGTCGGCATACTTATTGCTTCCAAAAACGCCATTCCATCGATATGACAGCCTCAAGGTTTTGAGCCCAGAGGAACAAGCAGCTTGAGACTTCTGGAATAGACCTAGAATATATAACAAGCCCTATTATTGCATGTCCTCCCTAGCAATAGCGTCCACCCACTCAACAGCTTAACATCAAAGTACTAGCTAAGCAAACATGCATGACGGGAGCCACAACTTGTCAAATTACTGCTGTCACCCGTCCGTCCATCATCCAAAATCCCCTGAACGCACGTTTTCTCCCACGACACTACTGTAGTTTCGGTCCAAACTCGAGAATATGCAGGTACAGATCTCCAGACAATCATCAGAGCTGAATGTCGTCGATTCGTCTCGTCTCGTCTCATCCTCGGTTTCCATCCCTTCCTACTAGCCCGCCCGTGAGAAGCCTCCTGCATGTTATCAGGTGGCACCCGGCCTCAGTCAGCCACGGGGAAATCGCCTTTTCGATTGTGGGATTGCGATTCATTGCCCAAGACAAAACTCCCTATTGTCTTACTTCCTTTGGGGCCACAAAACGCGAAAAGCTCGGGGCAAAAATAAAGGCAGGTTGGAAAGTTCTCCGGAACAGCGTTGAACCTGGGGGACGTGTTTAATTAGACAACCGGATCTTAGTGCCCGTGTGGTTGATTTCGAGACAGAGCCCCGGTCGACCGTCGGCTCGGAATCCCACTTGTTCATATTGCTATGTGCCTTCTAGGAGGGAAAATTCAGTTCATTCGACTTTTCTTTCGTTCTCTTGAGTATTACCCATACTTGAAAAACTACGTATAGGTTGGGGGGAGGGGATTTTGGGTTTACTAGGAGTTGGGACGCCAAGAAAGAAGTGAATCCTGCCTACAGCCTGTGTCGATGTCAGCAGGAAGAGGTACCACTTCCTAGTCATCGTCAAAAGGCAGGTATGGCTTGGAAACAGCTGCATCCAAAACTATTTTTCTTTAGATTGTTTGCTATCAAAAGTGAAGGCATTCCGAGGTCTTATAATCATGATCACAACTCTCAACAAACGATTCTGGATTGTTGCTTCTCAATATCATCCGAGGATGTTTATCGTCATTGAAATTTCATCATGATTTGTTATACATGGAACAAGAAGAAGAATAACCTCCACAACCTCATCAACGGCCGAGCGTCATGCCCGCCGGACATCATCCTCGATCTTTGCTTCGAGGAGCCTATAACACCAAACCAACCTTTCACATGTACACCTCAAAATCCCCATCAACACCTCTGCCAAACACTTTGGCATGCTGTCCTCACCCCCTAATTCGCTCGTTCCCTTTCCCCATCTCTCAATATGAACATCCCGACGTGACTCCATTCGCATAACCCCTCAAGACAGCAATACCATCATCACCGCCGCCGCCGACAACAGACATCTCACTCGGCCAACTAAGATGAGCCTCTCAAGGGTCACAAAAGATGTCAAAATCTCCCACCGTGCCCGAAAACACGGGATCGCTAAAGCTCTGCTTTGTGATTGTGTCGATTGTGTTTTTGCATTGCTCTGCCGGTCCGTATTAGGATCGTGGTCCTCATGCGTAATGGGACTTCTAACTCCGAGAAAGTACTATAAACTCACCAGCTTGTTCGTCACACTTGGTCACCTCGAACTTTTGCGGTCCGTTGTTAGCTGCTTGTGAGCACTTGTTCTTCTGGTTGTCGCAAGATCGGCCCGCGGCGGTGTTGAAGTCGGGCTACAACCGAATGTCCATTAGCACGTTTGCTTCCCCAAGTCACCACCCTCCCTTCCTCCTCTGTCTCCGGCGAAGAACGTCGGAGATCACGCAGAAAAAACTCACAAAAGTATCGCCGTCGACCTCGAACGGTCTACTAGGGTCATTTGACTTGGTAATCTATTTCGAAGCCACAATAGTCAGCAAACAACGTTCCGTCCTACGATTCCCTCATCCTACTCTTGAAACAGCGCCACCCTTTGAGCGCCACACCGAACTCCTCCCCGGAGCTAGATGTATTTGCGCCCATTGGGGTCACGGTTCTTGCTCGGGTGCTGAGGGGCAGAACATCCTGAGAGAGATAGAGAGATGAAATCACATACCGCTGACGCCTGTACACCGCCCAAATTCCCTTCAAAAGTTTGCAGGTTCTGCGTCGTCTGCCGCGGTAGCAGGCCATACTTCCACCCCATGCGCATCTCGTCACCGAGATCCATCGCCAACACACCCGCCGCCGCCACGGCGGCCCCCGATAGCGCGTTGAATAGTGTTGACGTCCTCATTGCTTTCTCTCTGATCTTTGTCGTGGGTCGACTGTGGTTCAGCCGTTATCAGCTCGTCCTTTCGTCGTCCTTCCGAATGTGATGATCGGATTTTCTCGCCCTCCGACTGATTAATCGATCGCGTCGGTTGCTTTCGTCGAGTATCGTGGCTCCGTGGTTGTGATCGTAACCCAATCGATATCTCTCCCTTCTTGTGTCGTAAATAAAGTTTCCCAGCTCCGTCCTTTCACCAGCTCGTCGAATTGAAATATTAGAAATATGTCGTTGAGATGGTAATTCCGAGGCTCAACCTCGTCGAATCGTATATAGCGTCGTCAACGAAGCGCAGTAAGAGTTGTAGTGTGGATTGGCGACGCGCAGCGCTCAAACGTAGAAGACCGTGACACCGAAAAGACGTTGGGGGAGTAGAAAAGCAAAAGGGAACAACCCAACGTCCGTCCCTTAAACTTTAGCAGTGCTTTTTTCCCCGATTAACAGGCGCCCGCGGCTGCGACAGATGCACGGCACGGGAGGGGGAAGGTATTGGATTGGGGCCTTGCAGCAAGCAGCAAAGGGAACCTGAAACGCGGAAAGAGATCCAACCACGGCTGCCCACAAAAAGCTGGGATGCAACACCACCACAAAGCACACCCGAAACACCACTGAGACGGGGAAATCATATTACGGATGGCCTAGCTTTGCTGTGTCCACGTGATATTGCCCAGACGGGACGGCAACCGAAAAAGGACGATCATGCTGGCTTGGAGACATGGAGTTCATCAGATGGCAGTTGGCCCCCTTGGATGACGGCCGATCATATCGGGAAAGATAGAATGGAATAGAGTTCAGAAGGAGGGGCTGCAATCAATCGGTTGAACTCAGTTCTCTCCCTCAACCCCCGGCCACCTCAGCCAACATACTTCACTTGCGTCATTTTGAATGTGGTATGTGCTTCTTGTTTTTGCCTTTCATTGTTTGAATTGTTTGGAAGTTGGTGGTCCTGATATTAAAGATGTATCTTAACATACGTACAAGCCTACGGGCCTAGAAGGCTGCCCATCAGACTTGCTTGTTGCGGTCTCTGCCGTCTTGTCTTTGCTGGTATCGATGCCCTGTCCTGATGCGCGACTCGTTTGAAGCCCACGCTAGTCCAGTGAAGTGATCATCCTAAGCCCAGCCGACAAAAGAAGAGTAATTTTCTGCCGTCTATGTACATATTTCTATCCATTAGTCCGGAGACCTTGCGATATGCAACCATGCCTACCATGGTAATCTGGCGGCCCTCAACTCCACCTGACTGGTGGAAAGGCCAGCCGCAGTAAATGAGTAAAAAGAGAAATCAAGGAGTGTGGTATCCGTGTGGAAAGGACTGGGGGAATCAACGCTTTCTGCCGCAAGAAATCATTATTGGAAGTCGCAACACCAAACATCTTTAAAAGTTGGACGATGCATTGACTTGCTGGTTCGGCGCGTGGTAGCTTTCGAGAGTCGACTGGAAGGGAGTACGGCCGGAACCAGATCCCTGAGCGCTTCCGATCTCGTTCTTGGGCTCGTTGCCGTACTGGTTGTTGTACTCCATGAGGCCGTCGTTCTCCTCGGCCTGCTTCTTCTTGCCCCAAATTCTCCAAGCGACGAAACCCAGGGCACCGAGGACAATGGCACCGCCGACACCGACAACGACACCAATGACAGTCTTGCGTGTCTCGGACGACATGCCGGAGGAGGAGTCTCCCGAGTTTGCCTCATTGAGGCCGGGCGTGCTCGTGACGGTGGCCTCGGAGGTGAAGGAAGTTGCAACACCAGCAGAGTTGGTGGTAGTGATGATAGTCTTGATGGTGGAGGTGACGGGCTCAGCAGTAGTGGAGTGGGTAGAAGAAGCGGCGCTTGCGCTGGTGGTCTCGTCGTTGTTGCTGCCAGCAGACGTGGTGCTGGTCCTCAGGGTTGTAGGGGCAGCCGTTGCTCCCGGTGTTGTGGTTGATGCAGGCGCATTGGCGGATGTGGTCGGATCGGCGGCGGGAGATGTAGTAGTGACAATGGCGACGGTGGTGCTGGTGACGGGAGCAGCTGTCGTTGTTGTAGTGACGGCAGCAGCAGATGTGGTGGTTTGAGCAGCAGCAGTCGATGTGGTTTCGGCGCCGCTAGCAGTTCCTGATTGTCTCTTAAGAAGGCCATCGCGGGGCTCGGCTTTGTTAAAGTTGAACCATGACGCCTGAGCGACCGAGGCGAGGGCGAGGATCTGAATGGCGCGTTGGGGATGCATTGTGACTGTGATTGACGAGTTTCCCGCTTTTCCGGTAGTGGATGATAGATATATCAAGTCAACCGATTGTAGAAATTATTCTCTCTGGTCGATCAGATAAGTTGAACAATCGTTCGTTTGTGTGCCGACACCCAAATTCTTTGGTGGTGGTGTCCAAGACACAGGGTTCTGAGATGAGTCGAGTCGGTTCGTCTGGAATCCTCGGAAAGTTCTTACGTGCCGGGTGGGTACGAAAATAGGAGAAGGCGGCACGGGTCAAGGTGGGAGGACGGAAGCGACCGGTAGGTTGAAAAGGTAAAAGGCGGTTTTTTGTTGAATGTGATGCAGGAATCACTCGGAGAAAAACGAGAGGAAGGAACCAAGAATGACGATAGGGAAAAGCGAGTGAATGGATTTTATGAAGTGAGGGATGAGTTCGGATAGGTTTTGAGGGGGGTGGTCATTGGAGTGGAACGAGCGGGAAGGTCAGAAAAACAAGACTCGTATTCGAGCTGGAGCGGCGTAAGAGGGTGGTCAGTGTGAAAAGGCAGGTGCGGTTGCCAAGTGGGTGGTCACTGGTGGGTTACTGTACGTCTGCGTACGCAGTAAAGCGCTGGGGGCAGGTCCACGGGTCCAGGCAGGTACCAGGGATGCAGGGCCGGGGCACTTCTTCTTTCCTCCGTCGCACTGTCCGTGACCCGTGTGGTGGCTGTTCTTGGCTTCTTCCTGGGCCAACAAGCGTCAGAAAAGGGAACCTCGAAGTCTCCAAGCGAAAACCCGCCCAGCAACGTTGCGCAGGGAGACAGACTGAACCTAGTGTAGAGGTAGGAGGGCGAGCCAGTAGCGACCGGGGGAGTGGCTGTGGATGCTTGCCAGATTTTGGTGCAAGGGACAACGTGGTGGCGGTCTGACGGCCTAAGACATCAGGTTACCCATCTCAGATTTGTCCGCTTCTCGCGCGATGAGAACTTTTCATTGGTCAGACCGGCTGAACCCTGGACCCGACGCGGGGCACTGTGGCACACGACGATCAATGCTAAGAGGTACGTACACAGTACGTTTCTCTCGTCTGCTTCGTCTCTCGGCGAATCAGAGACGGCTTCACCCTCAGACCCTTCAATTCCCTCCTGGTCTTTCCCTCACCCTCACGGACTCACCTCTCGAATTTCACAAGGCTCCGCCTCCAGCTCGCTGCTCCCGACCCTTTGCTCAAACGCTCAGTCAAATCGTCTGTTCGCCGTCTCCAGAAGTCGACGACACAACCGAGAATACCGCCGAGCCTCTGAGGTCAGTGGGAGTTGTTGGAACACCCCAAGGAAGCAGCCCAGCTGTCAGCAGTCTTTAGCGGCCGAATGGTTGGTAACCACCTCAGGGCAAACGGCTTGAACGGCCCCTTCTAGCCCGTCAGATGGCTCCAGACTTTGAGAGCCAGGTCCAGCCCGCTGCAACCGCTGAGTCTGCCGCATTCCTCGTAGCGGTTGGCGCCGACTGAGGTGTTTGCCATCAGGAGCTTTCTCTGCAAGACGCAAGCCCCAAACGCTCGAATGCAGCAATCCGATTTTGCATGGCGCGCTTTTTCTTTCATCAGCAGACAATGAATATCCCAAAAATAACCATGGTCTGTCTATTGTTCAACAAAAACTTCTTCCAACGGCAAAGAGACTTTGACTACACCACTGACTTAACGCAGGACACCAGAAGTTGCCGTTGCAATCGCAGACAACCACGACGATGACGACGGGATAGCAATCAGGCTTTGTGCTGGTCTGTCTAATCCAGGATGGAAAGGAGCGACAATCCTATGGCATGTGCCATTTGGTCAACCCCTTCATAGATGCTTAAAACCAAGCATCATGAGAAGTAAAGCATACAAACCCATACATGTATGTATTGCCAGCCGGCACCAATGGAACGATGGCAAAAAACACCAGGGCAATATTGCAGCAGTGAAGCCACTGGTTGTCCCCATCCACGGCAATGCAACATGCCTGCTCAGGGCCGATCTTGTCTCTATTTTCAGCATCGACCCGTCGCTCTTTGCTCCAACCGCCTCCGCTTCTGCCAGCCTAGCGTGCCAAACCCGACCAATTCTCCTTCAGGGTCTTCCAAGCACGTCTCCACCCTCCCCCGGGCCCCTCCCAGCATTCGTCATTCTTCCCGGCCCCGTCCAAGAATTCGGATTCCATAACTTTTTGCAGAACTCGGCATTCGTCGTCGCACCACTCATGCCCTACGGTATGCCAATATGGACGTTGATAACAACCCTAGAATATGTGAGGGGTCTATGGGGAAGGGGTCAAGAATTCCTCGGACGACGGGCATCGCCTCACTGGGCCATAAGATTTGCCTTCCGCGGCGGCCGACGTCACTTCCGCGCTCGAGGGTCTTCGCACTTCACCGAGGGCCCCTGCAACGATGGTTAACAGGAGTCAGGATTACCTACTGTTACAGTACAGCCTGCAGGATGACGATGTTGAGAATACCGTTCAGACTGCGCCCGAAGCATCTCGAACTGCCAGCGACGACAACTCTGATCAAACCTTTTGTTGGCATACGACTGATGCCCCCCCGTGCGTCATTTCTTCCACGCAATTGTCAATCTCCAGATGAACCACTCAGCCAGCAGCTGTTTGAAAGAAACTAAAAAACCAATGAGTGCGTTTCGCCTAGCTTTTACAGTTCAGGGTACCCTTTTATTTGAAGCTCTGTTTCCTAGCGACCTCGTCATGGGTTCCCCTTCTTCCCACATCCCGGCATAGTGTCTACACTCCGCCCAAGGAGACTAGAGACCCATGCGTACGGATGCAGAGCGTAAGAGGCAACCGATGGTATAACGATAATCCGTCCGCAGCAAGCATCAGTTCGGGTCCAGGTCTTCCTTCCGCGGATCTCGGCGTCGGAGGACCCATTTTCTCACGGACACCCACATAGTGCAATGATGACCGATGTTGTGAAGCATTGCATTTCATCTTACCCATACAGCCTACGGGTGTCAAACCACGCATTGAACCCTTGATCGCACACTACAAGTGCGCATCGCCTCCCGATACCGTGATACGATTGACCGGCCATACAACGGTGAAAACCTGGAGACTAGATTGTTTCATTTACCAAAGTCCCTTTTCGTGTCTCTCCTTGGACTTTGTGCACACTTCAAACGGGAGTGTATGATAACCGAGCTGCCTATGACAGCTAGCTTAGGATCTTGCCCGCAGGTAATTTCATCATCAGACGGTAATCACCTAGGTGTTTCAAACCGCAATCTGCGTTTGCACTCTCTGTTGACTTGGCTATATTACTTCACGAGTCTCGCAACCAGAGAACATCACCTGAGCCAAAACACTTTTGTACAGTCAAAAGACCTCGCAGCACCGCAAAAATGAGTAGCAGATTGTGCGATGGTCAATTTACAATACATACATCATTACTGTTCAATCCAAGGAAAAAGACTTTTGACAAGGACATCTCGATTGTCATCGATCCAACGAGCGGCGCCATTGCAGATGTGTATGAACGGCAGCGATCCAGCAATGTCGAGTTGAGAAGCCATGATGTAGACCTACGAGGGAAGGTTGTGATGTCAGGATTCGTCGACGCGCATACACATGTGTTCCTCCATCCATACGAGTGAGCCTCATCATCTTGGCACAAGGTCCTTGAATTATCTAACAGTGACTAGTGAGGCTTCATCGACGGTTCAAATGCGCGACGAAAGTGTCGTCGAGAGAATCGTTCGTGCCACAAATCATCTCCGCGTGGCCCTTCTGTCCGGTTACACCACCTACAGAGATCTGGGCACCGAAGGGCTGCGCTCACATGACGCAAACCTAAGAGACTGCGTCAACCGAGGCCTCGTACCCGGCCCTCGACTCTTCGTGGCTACCGAGTGTCTCGCCAGCACTGGGTCCTACGAGGTCCGTCACGAGAACTCCTGGGCCAAACTACCGCGCATTTCGGACCCCTGCGATGGTCCGGTGGGCGTGACACAGGCTGTCCGGCGCCGTGCGGCCGACGGAGCGGACATTATCAAGTTCTACGCAGACTATCGACGAAGGGTGATGCGATTCCCGAATTCAAAGGAGCCGATCCCGTTTCTTCCCTCGGAGCCCAACCCCACTGTGGTGATGTTCAACCAAGAGGAGATGGACGCAATCGTCAAGGAAGCCAAGCTGGGCGGGCTGCCCGTGGCGTGTCACGCTGGGTCAGCCAAGGGGGCACTCATGGCTATTAAGGCTGGCGTCGACACCATTGAGCACTGCCAGGAGGCCACCGATGAGGTCTTTCGAGAAATGGCGCGTCGTGGCACCATCTTCGTTCCGACGCTCGGGATCATGAAGACTTCACCTGATTTCAGCAGCATTGCGAAGCAGACCAAGAGGGCACACGACCTCGGCGTGCGTCTTGCTGCCGGAGGTGATACCGGGACATTTCCTCACGGGGAAGGTGCTTTTGAAATGGAACTCATGATCCAGGCCGGGGTTCCTGTCGTGGATGTGCTGGAAGCATGCGTGATGGGAGGTTGGGAAAGCTGCGGCAAGGAGAAGAGCGGTTTCTACTTTGGTTCTATCGAGAAGGGCTACCGAGCCGATATCATTGCCCTGGACACGGACCCGAGACGAGACGAGCGGGCCTTGAGGAAGGTTAGCTTCGTCATGAAGGACGGCAAGGTCTGGAAGAAGGACGGGCGAGCCGTCGGATTCTTCGAGGAGAAGACGGTCGATTCGAACCCCAGCGCCGATGAGGAGTCGGATTGGACTTTTGTTTGACATGGCGTCATATGAGCTTCACTGAATTCGATTAGTCAATCGCTTGCCTGCTCCAACTGTCCATGATGAGCAGCAAGGTTACATTGCGCCAGCCAGATCATCGCCAACAGGCGACGTATACGAGCTTGAATGCGACCAGAGAGTCGCAATCAAATAAATTCTGGCCTTCGGCACTTGATATATCGGGAAACCCGGCTCTGCGGGCAATAAACGGGCATCGCGTTAATTGATCTCGAGATAGGTACCGGAGACTACATCACTGTCTAATACGCCTGTTTTCCGTCGCATTTCACAGTCGGATCTGCCTCCGCACACAATCGACCGAGATTATTCCTGGTAAAGCAAGTCAAGGACGTCAAAGAGGGGTTGTTTGAACCGCTTCCTCCACATGCTCCAATGATCACCACCACATCTCCGCACGGCTCGCGCGGGCTAAGCCGGCGAAGCTTAATCCCCAGCCAACCTCTTTTCAGGGAACTATCTGCAGTACTTCGAGGCTGTAGAAGCTGGCCTGCATATCATGGACCAAGCTTTTATCAGCAACCGGGCATCGGACGATCGTTTCGTATGCGAAGCTAATCACACCTGTTCTTCCGGACATGCCCATTTCATGCTTCTCGTGCCGCTACTGCATCTTCCCGGCAATGGAGGAGAGGGGAAAAGGGACGAACGATGGGCAATACTACGCACACCTCGATTATTGACTACCTACCGCATCATCTGCACGATTCGAACGGCGCTAGAGCACCTAGAAGGATATCGGTCTCCGGATGACTCTCAGGGTTCGCGCGGCTGCAAAGGTCCGAGGCTGTCACTTTGACCATTATATCATGTACGGACGGTACCCGGTCGGTCTCTTAGTCTCGTCCTTTCCCCCTCCTCCTCCTCTTCCTTCTCCCGATTTGACAGCCGCCACCCGGGTAACCTGTCAAGCATGAGGCCGTCTCTATTCTCCATAGCCTTGCTAGGCCTCGGACTATGCTCCGCCGCCGGAGTTCGTTCTTCTCTTGCTCTCGCTCCTGCGGTCAAAGTTCTGGACGAAAAGAGAGACCAGCTTCAGGACATCGTGACATGGGACGAGCACTCGCTCTTCGTCCGCGGTGAGCGGGTCATGATCTTCTCGGGCGAGATACACCCCTTCCGCCTGCCCGTTCCGTCGCTGTACCTCGACGTCTTCCAGAAGGTGAAAGCCCTGGGCCTCAATACGGTCTCCTTCTACGTCGACTGGGCGCTGCTCGAGGGAAAGGCCGGTGATTTCACCGCCGAGGGCGTGTTTGATCTCCAGCCCTTCTTCGACGCTGCGACCAAGGCGGGCATCTACCTCATTGCAAGGCCCGGTCCGTATATTAACGCAGAAGTCTCTGGCGGTGGGTTTCCGGGTTGGTTGGCAAGGTTGAAGGCGAAGCTGAGGACTTCGGACCCCGAGTTTCTTTCTGCAACGGACAAGTAAGGCCTTTTTTTTTTTTTAATTTGGAGGAGTTCGTTAGTAACATCAGTGACTGATAATGGTAATCAGCTACATGGCAAATATTTGCGGCATCATCGCCAAGGCCCAAATCACCAACGGTGGCCCAGTCATACTCTTCCAGCCGGAGAACGAGTACACCAACTTTGAAGACGGCAGTAGTGCCGATGGGCCGTACTTCCAGTATGTCATCGACCAGGCTCGCAAAGCTGGGGTTGTCGTTCCCCTCATCAGCAACGACGCCAAAGCAGCGGGCCACAATGCGCCGGGAACGGGTGTAGGCGCCGTTGACATTTATGTAAGCTGCTCTGAAGCCGTCGCAGAGACTTAAGACTAATACATTCTAAAGGGCTTTGATGCGTACCCGCTTGGATTTAACTGTGTGCGTAGTATCCTGAAAGCCATCCTCAAAAGTCTAGCAAATGGAACTGACCGCCGAGGTGTAGGCAAACCCTAATACGTGGCCGGATAACGCTCTACCAACCACCTACCACGCATTACACCTGCAACTAAGTCCAAGCACACCATTCACGATTCCAGAGGTAGGCCTGCAAGGATCAATAGAGAGACGCGAGCTTACTCCTTGCAGTTCCAAGGAGGTTCCTTTGACCCCTACGGCGGACCTGGATTCGAAAAGTGTGCAGCATTGGTTAATCACGAGTTTGAGCGCGTATTTTACAAGAACAACTTTGGAGCTGGTGTCACTATATATAATATTTACATGGTAAGTTGCTGCGAGGGAGTGGGGATGAGAGACCGAGACTGACGAAAACCCAGATATTCGGAGGCACCAATTGGGGTAACTTGGGGCATCCGGGAGGATACACGTCCTACGATTACGGCTCCGTGAGTTAAAGGCTTCTTGATACATTTCTCATCATACATACTGACGCTATAAGGCAATCACGGAGGAGAGGAGTGTCTCAAGGGAGAAGTACTCTGAACTGAAGCTCGAGGCACAATTCCTGAAAGTTTCGCCTGCATACCTGACTGCAACGCCCGGAAATTTGACCGTTGGAGTGTACAGCGCAACTCCAGACATCACAGTCACACCTTTGCTAGGGAACGGAAACGGCTCGTTCTTCGTTATCCGGCACAGCAACTACAACAGTCTTGCCACGACCGATTACACGCTTCGTCTGCCCACGTCGCAAGGAACCATTACGATCCCGCAGTCGCGCGATCTGCTGCAGCTTACCCGCCGTGATTCGAAGGTCGTTGTCACGGATTACCCTATTGGAAATACGACCCTATTATATTCGACGGCAGAGATCTTTACCTGGAAACAGTACAAGAACCAGACCGTTCTTGTCGTTTACAGTGGACCTGGCGAGACGCATGAGATAGCTGTTAAATCGACCGCGACACCTGTCCTCGTTGAGGGCACCAGCGTTGACCACAACTACGTGAACAACACCCTACTCCTGGCATGGGAGACATCCAGCACGCGACGGGTAGTGAAGGTTGACAACCTGGTAATCTACATTTTGGGTAAGTACACCAGCTACTTTGCACCACCTTGCGACTAACTCAAGGGAGACCGTAACTCGGCATACAACTACTGGGTGCCAGACAAGCCCGGCGGAAGCCAAACGGCATACGGCACGTCCATTATGAACCCAGACTCACTCATTATCAATGGCGGGTACTTGGTAAGATCGATCTCGATACAGGATGGCACTCTCAGAGTCCAGGCAGACTTCAACCGTACCACTGAGATAGAGATCATTGGCGTCGAGCCGGAAGTCGCAAAGCTTGAAGTAAACGGCAAGCAATTGGACCACACAACGAACAACCTTACCAACTGGGTCGCGAACGCATCCCTTGCGGGTGCCGCGCCCACCGTATCGGACCTCAAGTCACTCAACTGGACCTTCATCGACTCTCTCCCCGAGATTCGCGCAGGCTATGACGACTCCGCGTGGCCTCTCGCAGACCACAAAACAACAAACAACACAATCGCCAATCTCACGACCCCCGTCTCCCTCTTCGCCTCAGACTATGGCTTCCACACCGGCACGCTCGTCTTCCGGGGCTACTTCGTCTCAAACGGCACAGAAGACAAACTCAACATCACAACCCAGGGCGGCTCCGCCTTCGCGAGCTCCGTCTGGCTAAACGACACCTTCCTCGGCTCTTTCGCCAACGGACCCGACGCCTCGGGCGATAATACCTCCAACTACACCCTGGCGAACCTCACCGCGGGCGCGACGTACGTCCTGACTGTCCTCGTCGACACCACCGGCCTCGAGGAGAACTTTGTCATCCCCGCAGACGTGATGAAGAACCCGCGCGGCATCATGGACTACAGCATCACATCCCCCTCCGGCGCCGAGACGAACGTCACGACGTGGAAGATTACAGGGAACCTCGGCGGCGAGGACTACGCCGACAGGGTCCGCGGCCCGTTGAACGAGGGGGGGCTCTTTATCGAGCGCCAGGGCTACCACCTGCCCTCTCCACCCGAATCGGCGCTCAATACGCAACGCTCGCCGTTCGAAGGGACAGAGACGCCCGGCGTGACATTCTACGCCGCGAAACTGGATCTGCAGATCCCCGCCACGGACCTCGACGTGCACCTCGCCTTCGTCTTTGACGACATCGCAGCATCCAACGGAACGGGTGCGTACCGCGCCATTCTGTACGTGAACGGGTTCCAGTACGGGAGGTATGTCAGCAATATCGGTCCGCAGACCAGATTCCCCGTGCCTGAGGGTATCCTCCAGTACCAAGGGACCAACTACATTGGTCTGGCCGTCTGGGCGCTTGACAATGGTGGGGCTCGCGTGCAGAACTTCCGACTCGAGGTCGGCGAGGTGGTGACGACTGGCCGAGAAGAGGTCAAGGTTGTTGAGGCGCCGGCTTGGAGTCAGCGGGCGGGTGCATATTAGGACTATGTGTTGGACACTTTTCTTTCTTGTACATTTCTAGTACATATAGCCCGGTGGTTTAAATAATTAAGGTGTTTGCATCCTACTATGATAGTGAGAGTAGGTAAGCATCCTCGGTAGGAATTGTACTTCTGTCTATTCGATACAAGACGAAAGAAAATACATTCTTGGACATCTGGCGGCTCAGAGGTCATCAACGAGAGGACTAGGTCCCTGCGGCATCCCAATCCTATCCTCAAACATCATCCTAAGAGCCTCCACCCTACTGCGATCCGACATAAACCGGAGATACTCGGCCGAATTGGTCATGTCCATGTCGAGAATCCCCGGATAGCCGCCAGGCGCCGTGATATCTTTCCGGGCACTCCACTGGGAAGAGTTGCGCTGGAACCCGTCATCGAGGAGGAAGTTGGCAAATAGCTTCGAAGCCTCGGGGTGCGGCGCGTCCTTGAAGATGGCGACAGACCGCGGCCAGCTGACAAAGAGCCCCTCTGTCGGGAAAGAGGCGTTGAGGCTGCCCGAGGGCCGGAGACCGATGCTAGCGGTGAAGGTGACGGACTGCGTGCTATTGGGTTGGCGCAGCACAGCTAGGGGCGATCCCGTGCCGCGGACCCAGCGGGGCTCGTTGGCGAGGAGGCCGTCGAACCACTCGGGACCATACTGGTGCATTCTGGAAGAAGATGTGAGAACTATGTCATTCCGAAAGAAAGGGGGTGTCTGAGAGTATCTTACACGAGGTCAAAGATGTACGCAATAGCATCGTCGTCACTGGGGTGCGTCAGGACAATCTTGCCCTTATACTCAGGCTTCAAGAAATCCGGCCACTCCCGCGGTGGGTTCGCGAGCTTCTGCGTGTTCCAGACAGTCGACCACGCATTCATTGCAAAGCCGTAGTACGCTGCGCGCACATGACGAAACGGCGCCAGCACCTTGAGATAGTTGTTTGGCGCGTAGTGCAGCAGCGATCCCTGCTGCTCCCAACGGGGATAATCCTGCAGGGCCTGGAGGATAATGGTGTCTACCTCGAGCGGTCTGCCCGAGGCGAGCTGTCTGTCGACATTGACGCTGTGGTATTTGGAGCGGTTGACCGTGATGTTGAGCGTCATGCCCGGGAACCGCGTCTCAAAGGCGCGCTTGAGGCCGTCTTGCTGGGTGACTTCGTCGCCGCCGTGCCAGCATGTAACGATGCCGCCTTCGGCTAGGGCGGCTTGGTAGATTTCGTCGATGGTGCGGTTCTCTTTGACTTGTGGGGTGTTGAAGCCGAGGGAGATGTCGGCTGAGGAGACTTGCTGTGCTAGCAGAGCACACAGCAAAGGAAATGAAAGACGCATTTTGAAATGGTGGAGTAATTGATTGATGAGAGAGATTGACGAGGTGTGTTAGTAGCGTATCGTGACTTGTCGTTCGTCCGATGTAAGTGAACTTATACTCACGAGACGGTGAGGATTATCAATATACATGATGGACTCAAGGCTGGTTACTTGGCGAACGCGTAATAGTCGAGCTTAGCACACGAAGACTATGGCTTGGCGAACATAAATTTGGTGTAGCTGCTTTTCGTCCTTGAATCTCATCAGACCATTGACAAGGTTGACGTTGACTCTGTTCCTCTACGATTTCCATGATCGGCTAGCAACTACTCGGCTACTCGAATAAAGTTGCTGACGCTCATAACGGGTTTTGGCTTATGGCCGGAAATCAGCTGTAGCTCAAACACTAACGCATGTAGTAGACCGTCTGATAAATTAAGCTTAATCATTAGACTACCTACTTCTGTTCCCTCACAGTTGTAACGGCGCGCGGGTCTTGACTCAGGTTGAAAACAGCTGTATAGAACCCGAAAACGGTAACAACTCGCCGTGAATCAGAGTTTACAAGCCCCTTGAGCACTGCCTCGATTGACATAGTCATCGGGCGTCTCTAATCACAACTAGTCTACCGTCGACCAATGAGAGGGTTCTTTCATCCTCAAACAGGCTAATAACTCAAGGGCTATGCTCGCTACATCCTTACGTTGTGAGGCGGCTTACTGAGCAAGTCGTTACAACAGGAGTGGTAGCGGCAAGGATATCTACCGGACGTTGAATCTCTCGGTCGGCTCGGCCGAACGCGTAACACCTTGCTCACGGAAACCGATTTCCACATCGGAATTACAATATGTACGGCTATACTGAAGCAAAACGGTCGTAACGTGTCGACTGTGCTTGAGGTGGTGCGCGGAAGGCTTGGTAGCGAGTACCCCGGCCAAATCATGGCAGCTCGGCTATTTTGTAGCTATCGAAACATGCTAGAACCCCCAAGCTTCTCGTCTGATATCTCAGATCGTGGCTCAGTTACCCTGGCCGTACTGTTACTGTCCCAATCTGCCTCACGCATGTGTGCAGAACGGATGACATTCAACGCACGTTTCCGGTGTCTCTTATTATCGCTGTAAAGTTAAACGAACGAATATGCTAAACAGAAGTATTTTCAGACATCTATTTGCGTCATACGATGAAGGTTCAGAAAGGTCTAGTGAGAAAACTCAATGAGCAAACCCACGCCGGGAGCTGTGAAGGTATATCTGACAGTTAGGATGACATTGCTCAGGGGCAGAACGTGTCGATCCCGGAAACAAATGGAGTAGGGCGGCAATGCAAGATTCGGGACGTTGGATGTTCGAAAGTGATAAAAAAGGACGAGCCTGTATTGCTAGGTAGACTATCGGGATCGAGGAATGCATGGGGTTGAGGATATAAAGTTAACACTTCGTTCGTCAACCGTCAACAACGCGCGCGTCTTCCGTGACTTCTTCTAGGCAACTTGCTTATTTTCTATCGCAACATAGCCGTTGCCTACGACTTTGTTGCTCTGGCCTATTATTTGTTGGTCGCGGCAGGTTTGTCAGATAATTGATGATAGCTACAACCAGGACGAATGCTTTAAGAAGTGCGGCAATTAGAAACATGCCCCCTGGCTATGGCGTAGATATATCTCTACGTCTATGGGGCCGGGGAGCACTGGACACTAAGTTCTACGATTCCTTCCCAACTCCTCCTTATATTTTGTTTTCCCCAAAGATTGGCCAGGTTTTCTTATCTCCCATAACATCATTATTACTGTCCTAGCCAGGATCTTCAGGGCAACCCTATCAGTAATCATGAGCTAGCATCTTGTCACGATGCTTCTGGCCACCTACTCCTTGAGCCAAGCCTGGTTGCTCCCCTGAAGATGATCCCATTGGAAGTTTCAAACGACACTATTGCCCACATCTACGCCATGCCTGACGCCGCATCTGAAAGGTTTCGTCTCTTTTACATGAACGATTCGTCCACCAACCCCGCTGAGACTGCCTCTTGGAGCTTTGTGGATCCTGAATTTACCTTCAATGCAAGCCATGTCCAAGCCGGTATCACTCTCGGGATTGATGGGCGTGAGTTTGTGAAGGATTTGACAAAATGGGACGGCAAAGTGAGGGTGCATTTTCATGTTCACGCCAATGGCACTATCATATCCGACGCCGTTGAGCTCAAGGTGGCTCCAGTCCTGACCCATCACCATCTCCAACGTATCAGCGCCTTTGTCAGTACTGCGGCAAACGAGTCTGATCCTGTACAGCTCGGTTTTCTCAGCTGACTTGATGAAGCGCGGAAGGCGGCAGGGATACAGGAGCCATTATATCTGTTCAATCAGAGTGACGATATTTGGGCCCAGGATTTTGTTGAACCAGCATATGCTAGCATGCCTGGACCTAACGGCCAACCGATCTCGCTCAGAATTATGTTGAGGTCGGCACAGTCAGTTCGTACTGCTAGCCGACAGGTCTTTGAGCAGCTTCGCGGGAAAGGCGTTGGTGGTTTCCAATCTGAGGGGGGACGCGGCGGCTATGGCGACCGAGAAATCAACGCATACGGCAACCTCGAAACGATCCCACCTTACACGTCCAAGAGTGGAGTCCAATATCCTGCCGGCCGGATCATCCATGGCAAGCATTACGATAAGATGCCAGCGGAAGCAACGATTGCCTTCTTGGAAGGCCAAGAGCTTCAAACCCCCCTTTTCCTTGAGTCTGGATGGCTACTCAACGGTCACGTTCATGAGTTCGTCCAGTTTCTACCTTCCAACGAGACGGGCCTTGGCTTCACGATTGGTATCGCTGACACCACGTCCGCCCTCGACTTGCTCAGAAACACCTCAGCAGCGGGGCATGGTGGTGTGCGGGCGATTTCTGTCGATGGGTCTGTTGAAGGCTCCATTTCTACCACGAAAGAGGAGCTGGCCATGACGATCGATGAGCTTCTTGCAAATGAGACATTCCACAAGGTCAAAGCTTATGCGCAAAGGCATATTGATGCTAATCTGGGAATCCTGCTCGCTGAGATACCTATCCTTCGAGATCATGTGATTCGCATTCCCTCGCTTTTCAAGGCTCCCAAAGTATCCTCGCTCTCCTCGTTGACTGAAACGGTAATGAAGGGCGAGTATTTGCTAGTGAGCTTCAGCCCGGCGGCTATCAACGGCGTCGTGTTGGGCAACTACTACGTGAGTCCCAAGACTTGGGGCCCCGTAGTCGAAGGGGCGAGACATCATGGAAGTTGCCATCCGGGAGGCATATGCAAAGGCTGGCATGGAAGTCGGGTTTGTGGATGATTTCATGTCGCATCACCACACCTTTGGTGGGGACATTGTGGAAGCATTACTTTCAGAAAGACGGACGTAGCGTGGTGGGAATGAGAGGATAGAATGGGGAGGCCTAGGAGCCATCATTCTAATAGCTATGTAGAGGAGAGAGCTATAGCATGTAATGATGTGCTCTGCAGTATTCATATTCCTTTCGTTCTCGTCTCCTCGTTACCTACCCATTCTGCATGCAGCACTGATGGATAAAGTTGGCTGCACGTGAGAATGTGAGGCAAGGGAAGCCAATTTAGCGTTATTGCCGCTAATAAGCTAAAGTTAAGCTGCATCTTCAAATCTCACGAAAGGTTTCAAGTTGCTCTTCCACGTCACAGAGACAACCATTGTCTCTCAGTTAATTAGAACATTGGTCCACCAGCGTAGCCAGAGGTAACGTACTGCTACCATCGTACAGCTTCAGCGATAACAGCATCCCTGCTATTCGCGGAAGAGAGATCCTCTCATACTCCATGTCCCAGATGCTGCTTTCCCTAGCCAGCAGGATGGACTCCAGCACACTCGCAATCTCCCGACTATCCCACATGCCTTCCTTCCTTCGCATGGCATACAGCAGCGAAATGGCTCTTTGCTGCAGATCCAGCTCACCAGAGAACCCAGCAATGAGGCTCATTCGCGGGATTACATCTGCGCCCAGGGTAAATACTGGATACTGCATCGGTTCAGCCTCGGCATACACAAGTGATTCAGCATCTTCCAGGAGGTCCTGGAAATATTGTCGATCCAGAGGTTGTGAGCTTGGAGCCTCCAGGCATTTGATAATTACCGACCAGTCCTTTTGCATGACAGACATTAGCCGCGCCTCCCATAACTGTTGTCTGGTCGTTGACGAGCTTGACTTGAGATGCTCGATGTAAGTTGCAAGCCGACTGCTGAAGATATCAAAGAGATGGCGAGCTGTAAGCCATTCCTCGAGCCGCAGGTCGTCATCTCTTAGTGTTGACATGCCCTCTGGCAAATTCAAGAATGAGGTCCACGATGCCGGAATGCTGCCTCGAACGTTGTACCGTAAAGCCCTACCAAAAGCTTGGTCTACGAGGTGGAGATCGTACCGAGCCTCGGTGGCGGAGGAGTACGGCTTGGAAGCATCTGTGTTGCCATTGCCCCGGAAGAAATAAGACAGGTCTGGAATGACTTCCCCTTCTTCCAGTAAGTAGGCAGCATCGCAGCCCAGGCAGGTGAACATGTCAGCAAGGTCGCATAACTGATCATAGTAGTTCTTGACGGTCTCAGCCAGACATTCTTGGTGCACTGAAAGAGGTAATCCTGCCTGAGCATCCGTTGCCGCTTTAGACAGGGCGACCATGATGCTGGAGCCGGATCTAAGGTGTTGCAAAGCTTTGTCGTAACGTCCCTGCATGATTTCAAAGCAGATGAATATCAGACAAGAGACAAGCGATGTCCTGAGAGTGGTAGGCGAAAGTCTTTCCATATCCTGAGTCGTGAAATTCATGGCTTTAGAGAATTGTTGAAACGCTAGCACATCGTATGTTTGCGCGCCCGCAGCCTGATCTTTCCTCTGTAGTCGCCTACGAAGCCTCGATGTGCACACCCCAAGGCTATCAGGGCGTGTTTAACTGAGTCGGAATAGTATCCCAGTGGGATGATGTAACTGTGCCATAGCTTCTCCAGGAAAGAGATAGCCCCGAAGCCCGCAACTGTGCATTTGCGTACATGATGGAACATGGCCCTCTCTGTTGGTGTTCCTGAGATGTCCCAGTTGACTGGCGGCGACATCGCTGATGGATGCCGACGCAACCTAAGCTGGAGACATCTGCGTCTTCGACAAGCTGCCTGCCCATTGACACAGCATCTCCATGTTGTTAAACACTGCAGGATTGGAGAATGTAGCAGACTAAGCTTACCGGCTACATGGCGGCTTATTTAGATCAACAGTCACAAAGTGAAGGTAGGTTGAGAACATACTGTGGCTGATGCTTTGAAGTGGCTTCAAGGGTGACCTTCCCTGTCTTTTCCGACACCTCCAACATTCTCTATGATGGATGAATTCGGCAAGCGGTGCAATGTGGCTTGTTGCGCCAGGTTCAGATTGGCGAACCTCCAGGCACAAAGCTTTCAATCGGGATCTCGTGGCTTCAATTGGGTGCAGATGAGCGTAACTCTGAGAGCGCGCAATCGTGATGACATACCTATGCGAAGAGTGGGGTGAAACTTGTAGGTTTTCACGATGTTCTCTTGGCCAAAGCGGGCAGTCCCACTTGTTCTCATTCTGGCCCCATAATTCGGCTCATGCCGAAACGTTTGGCGATGTTTGATTCGCTGACCGCTTTCGGGAATGTAAGTGTGACAGAGGTATTGAAGGCGAATGTGGTATCAAAATGTCCAAGGGACACGATACCGGCATCATAGTAGTCATAGCGAGCTTGATTCGCTAGAAGGCCGACTACAAGTTCCAGAATAACCATGATGAGACTCGGAATGGCAATGAATCCAAGAAGCTAAGCATGTACGGACGGGCCGTTGCCTTAGTCCTCAAGTTTTATAGCACCACCTAGACCCAAGTCTCGACGAATAATGTTGATGACTAGTTTCTTCATTTCCGCCAGGAGAAGCCAGTCGCTATTCAGTCTTCGTTCAACTACATTGGAATCGACTCAAAGGACTCTACGCTCTTGTATTGACTAAAGTATGGAATGGGACCAGGCTGGTAGGCCGGACGCCCAAAACCCCGTGCACCAACACCATGCCAGTGCCCACACTACCAGACCTGAATAACCCCGGAATAGTTGTATGAAAAGCTCCGTCGGAGTAAAGTCTCTAAGATCGACAAAAGTAAAAAGTTATTGTGAAGGGCCACAATGCTAATTTCATTTATATTAACGAGTGAAGCATGGCTGGCAAAGTAAGCACTGACCCAAACTCTGTTCTATTCAACGCAGATCTCCCAGCGCATTCACCGTAGGCGGACTATGGAGCTGTCCGTTACCGATTTGCCTGACTCGAAGGCATATTAAGTGCCCGTGTGGTAGTTCGTATTTTGAATTTGGTATGCAATAACGGGGATAAGGTCTGCTTGCCCGGTATAAACATGAGGTTCAAGTCCCCAAGAACATGAAGTAGCTTTCCATAGTTCTTCTCATCACACTTTGCCACCAACTACTCACAATCCTCTTAGCAAACATCTCTCGAAACATGCGTTCCACACTTGTTTTCGCGGCTGCGTCCTTCGCGACCGGTGCCATTGCAGCTAGGTCAATGGGATACTGCCAAAACGAAGCAGGCGACGGCGGGGACATCGGCAAGACGAGGTTCTGCTGCGACTCAAAGTTCGACTTCCGCTTTTCTGAGGTAAGTTCTACAACGACTGGCATAAACAAAACCTGAGAAAGAAAATGCTAACGTGGGGGGATGAGTAGTCTGGCATATGCAACATCCCTGCGGACTCGTGCGGTGGCATCAGCACGTGCTGTGGGACTGGTTTCTACGTCTTCAACACTTGTCCCGACACGTTTCCTTGTGCAAACAGCGCGGTGGACAAAGTTTGTCCCAAGAATCAGTCGTGATTTATAGTAATGGATTAGGGGGACTGAAGATGAATCTACTTGATGTTGGCCATGTTACGTTGTCGCGACGCGCGATCTCATTCGTGATGTTGTGAGGACGACCGGCTCAGCCCGTGACGGCTCGCCAAGGAGCATGTGGTGCAGCTTCTGAAAGAATATCTCAACGCCACGCTAAAAGAGCATGGTCCAAATTCAGTCGCTAACCACCTAAGTTAAATCAATAATCTCTGGCTCAGCTTTTCGTTTCGCCCCAGCAACAGGTGGTGGAGGCCGACTTGGCCCAGGAGCCGCAGCTACACCCATTCCGTTCAGACCAGAAGGCGGCGGTCGCGATGGTCCTCCAGCATTGCCCATCGTCGGCGCAAAAGCCCTGTGTTTTTCTCGTACTCCCGCAGTCACCCGTGCCGGCCCGTTCATCGGCGGGGGGTCATTCATCGGTTGAGCACCATTTATGGGCGGTGGAACGGACGATAGTCCGGCTGCTGACACATTGAAATACGATGGCGGCGGGCCGCGGGCAGACCCGGTCATCGGCTGACGTCTGTTCGTGGGCGGTGGCACCCACGCAGGCCCAACTGCCGGCACAACAGTGTGCCCCGGCGGTACATAACCTGCCGCAGCGGGTCCTGAAGCAGGAACAGGGGCGGGAAAATAAGCTGCAGCCGGAGCCGCAACCGGAGCCGGACCTGGAATTGGTGCTGGGGCTGGGATCGGCGCCGGCGGATACGTTATACCACCCCGCCCCGGGACCAGATTCACCGGCCGCTGCCACAATGCGGTCGCAATAGCAGGATAATCCTCACCCAGTAATATCCCTAGCTTGGTCTGATCAAAAGCCTTGAAGGCTTCCTCTGCCTCCTTGGCCCTCACCTGCTGCTTCGCAACATCCGTCTGCCCCACCTTGTTAATTACCATCGTGGGCCCTCCAGGCGCAAACCGCTCAGTCTCATGCGTGGCCCGGATGCCGTGTTCCTCGATGACCCTGTGCACGTGGTGTCGCTGCTTCTTGGCGCCAATAATCAGGCGGAGTGACGTCTGCGCCGGGTTCGCGAGGAAGTTGTCTAGTTTGCTGCAATCGCCGCAGGTGCAGAACTGCACGAGGTACATGCCACTTCCCAGCTGGCTCGACGGCGGACGGACCGGTCTCGAGCCGACGTAGTTGTCGCGGTAGGCTTCGAGGACGGCGGCGAAGAGTTGTTGGTAGCGCGGGGTGTCGAGGGGCGTCTTGGTGGCTTCCAGGATGGCGAGGAGTTCGCGCAGAAGCGGGATCCAGAGGACGGGGAAGTCAAGGGCGTGCATTTTGGGTGCGTGGCTGACGATGTTGAGGGCCAGTGGCAGGACTAGGTCCTCTTGCAGAGGGAAGGATGCGAGCTTAATGAGACCGGAGAAGAGGTCTGCCAGGGCGACGTGGTTCAAGGCGAGGCGGTGATCGGGGGCAGAGGGCGCCGTCTGGCCATATGTGAATCTCGCCGCCTTGTGGGCTGGGTCGTCTTCCCTGGGCCCACGGACCCTTTCAAGGTCGAGCATGGAGATGAGGTCTTTGGCGAGCTTCTTGTATAAGTGAACGGCCAGAGTCACAGGGGATGCCTTTCGTCTGGCGCCTGAGAGCAGCGCTGATAGAAACTCCAGTGCAAACGCTGGCGTCCGTACAAGTAGCTGCTCGACCAATGGCATCGTCCTGGGAAAGAGAGTCAGTCATATGTACGTCTGGCGGTGATTAGGGTTTCTTGGGGGAGACTTACACAGAGGAAAGCCAACCAAAGTCGGCATACTTCTCAGCGCCCGTCACTAAAGCCAGTCCATCTTGTCGGACGAAGCTTGCGGTATCGGCAATTTCCTTGACACCTTTGGTAAGCGTTGCTCGTGCCCACTCCCGGATCTCGTCAGACAGAGGCTGATCAGTAGGGGCAAAAGCCTTAAGCGCCTCGAAGATCTCGAAGAAATGCCGACCCTTGAACACTGTGAAAGTCAAGCTGGAACATCGACAAAACGGTTAGAACGAAAAGTTGGGAGCATGAACTGAATACTGGGGAGAAAATCGCACCCATTTTTTATCTGAGAAAAGTCCACTTTGCCCTGCGAGACCTCCGCGTAAAGTAGTTGATAGTAGCCCGCGGGCAGTGGCCTGTCCAGCCCCTTTTCGGCCTTCTTCATGCTAACTTTCTCGAAAAAATCCCAACCCTTCATAGCCAAAGCAGATCGCAACACCTTGTTCAGAATTTCGTCTTCAGCCTTTTTGGCACGCGTGCCTGGGCCAGGGACCGACGTATCCCATACGTCTTTGAGTGTCTCAAAGGATGACTTGCTGTTCGACGAGGCCTTGAGGATCGAATGTGTGAGATAATCGAGCAGTACAGCGCTGTCCTGGTAGTGATCCCATTCCGACCTCGTACTAGCTCTGAGGAACGAAGGGATCCTGTCCCGGCGAATGATGAGCGCGGCCTGAGTCCAATATTAGCGAGAAGCCACGAGGGGAAAGGGGAACAAAAAGCTCACTGTTACGCAGTACCAGTGGGTAGCTGTTGGTCCATGGGGTTCATCTTTGTCAATATGACGAACATACCTGCAAATCTTCTGGATCGAAGACCTACCCAGTTGCCCTGGTATCCCTCATACTCTTCCTTCCGTTCAACGCCTTCAAAGAACTCCCCGGAATCAAGCACATTTTTCCAACCCAACGCGATATCACGAAGTATCGGGCGCCCGCTCAAGTCCACAAGCACCTTGACAGACAACGACTCGTCCGTCACATCCTCAATATCATGGGACCGATCCGCCTCATCAGGATCCTCCCCGAACCCATCCGAGCTGGATGCATAATCCTCATACGGCACACCGCACGAATCGTATCCATCCATTCCATCAAGATCACCAAACGGATCAATCGGCCGCTTCCGGTTCCCACGCCGGCTCCGTTTCTTCTTTGAATGTCGCGTATTGCCCTTGTACACCGTCGGCCCCATCTCCATCTTCTCCGTCAGCGCCAGGAGCACATCAAACTCGAGCCCCGCGGAGAGCTCCTGCAGCGTCTGCACGACAGCCGCGTCGCGCCCCTTGAGTGCCTTTATCGAGATGCTAGCCTCGGTGTACTCGTGGTCCAGCCCGTAGTAGACGTGGTCGACCTCGCCGCCGTCCTCGGGATGCTCCAGCCATCGCCGGAGCGTATGCCGCAGGTCGCGGGTCTCTTGCCTCCGCAGCGCCGCAGAGGGCCGCTGCTGCGAGGCCGCCGGCGGCGGCGGGTCGACGGCTAGGTTGTACGTGAGCACCACTCGGTAGCCCTCCGTCACGGGCAGGACCTCGTGGTGGACGTCCAAGTACCAACATGCAAAGGACTGGTCTGCCCCGGAGGTCTTGAACGTCTTTGTCTCGCCGCAGTGCTTGACGACTACGTCGCCTCCCTTGTGGCTGCAGGGCAGGCAGATGACGAGCGTGCCGAACATGCCGGGGCATTTCTCGGTGCTAATGACCCGAGTAGTGTGAGCTATCTTATACAGCTTCATACAGCATAAATGACAACACACCAGAGAGACTTACTCGGTATGAGCCTTGAACATGGCCCCCTTTTCATAAATCAATAGCTTATACAGCTCCGCCGTCACAGGCGACTTGACGCCCAAATCTTTTGCTACAACAGCGCAAATCCGCGGGCCAGCGCGGACTCCGAAGCTCGAACTGTGAGGGATCCAGCTCCCATATGTTACGCACAGCAGTGTCGACAATAGTCTCGCTCCCCTTACCAAACGGAGCACGGGCGGCCTTGTCGATCAGCTGCCGCACCGCCGGCTCCGGCAGCGGAAGGCCGACGGGTTTGACATCCTGGACCCAGAGATCGGGGTCTACGTGGTTCAGGGGGTGGAACGAGGCAAAGGTGCCCTGTGTCTGGATGCCGGCAAGTGCCTCAGTGAGGTCATCATCAAAGGAGCGCTTCCAGTCCTCTGTGAGTGTGCTGCTGGCTACGGAAACTGTTTCATCATCATGCTCGTGGCTGGCTGCGGCGGCTGTGGTTTCACTGGGTCCGGCCGTGACCTCGTTGTCGGTAGTGTTGGGCTCAGTGGCGATGGCCGTCTGAGTTGCGATAGCTTCACTCGTCTGGGGCTTCTCTTCATTCCTAGGGACTGGATTAACTGTGGAAGCTTGGGAATCCATCACGGCGTTTGATATAGCAATGAACTGGTCACATGGAAAGGGCTCCCAGAACCAATCTTCAGCCCATCAACTTAATTGCCCCAAGACGCGACGCGTTAAGGGGAGGATATAGATAGTGGGGAAGCGTTGTACCATCCCTGTTGAGCAAGTACACTTGAGGGTACAACGTCGAATCTCCAGAGTGGTCTCAGCTCGGAGACTTCTAGGTCACCGGATAGAAATGATCATCAACCAACGTGGACTTAGTTGATATCAATCCGGATGAATCGATGCATCCGTTGAATGAATATTTCATCATATTATCATGCTTATTTCAAAAGGAGAAGTGAGCTTGTCTGCTTAGAGGTTGCCATCTCCAACTGTCGTGGGAAGGTACTCCTGGCTCTCTTCCCGGTACATGGACTTGTCTCCACTGTTTCCCGCAGCCAATGTACTCAGTGTGCCGGCTCCCACGTTTTTCGTGTTCTCCCCCTTGGTCTGTGCGGGGCATTCTTCGGTGAGAGTGTGGCGTTAGCTCTCGGTGAGGCGGGCAGGCTTGGCAGGTGAACGGGGTTCGACGTTTGACGACTCCCCTTCAGCCTCAACCTGGCCCTCAAACTGGCGCTGACAGGGAACGGACGGAATATGACTCGCTAATTTACACTGCAGGACATTGCATATTCTTTGAAGTATTTCACTGTTACTTGGACGACTGCATGCGTTGACCTTAGAGATGCCGTTTCTGTGGGCCTTCGCACTTCTTCCGCTCAACTCAGCGATATCACGGGTGCGAGTCGACTCGGCCTTAGAAACCTTACAATCACGGAATGATGATGAACCTCAAAACAAACATGTTCGTATTCATCGAAACTGTTCAGACAGAGCCTGATTGCTGTCCATAATCCATGCAACAGAAAACCTATGAACCTGGTGTATCGTTCCTGTTCCCAATGGTCTTATTCCATTCAGCTGTGTACCAAGACTACAGCTTTCCCCAAATGATTCCCAATCATGGTCAATTTCAAGTGGGTATCCCAAACTCCGTCTGCACAAAATCAAAAACTGGGTTTCAAGCAGACGTTTCCCCAAGAATGACGTATACTGTGTTACCGCCCGTTCCAGGAATTGGGAAATGAATGAAGCTCTGAAAAGAAGCCAACCCCCCCCCCCCCTTCTTATTTCGATATCGGGTATAAGAAAAGTCATTGGCCGGTTTATCCGTGTTTCATCAGGCCGTGTTGTTTTTTGACCACTGGGTATATCCGAAGTTGTGTATGTGTTCGTGTCAAAAAAAAGGGAAACAACCGAAGTAATTCGCATCCTTGTCAAATCCGTAAATCGCAAGGCTCATGCCGAGAAGATCGGTATCGTTAGCCTGGTCGTCGAACGCGTATGCTGCAAGACTATACATAGAGAACATTGTAAACAAAACTAGCGCTGGCTTGCGCTAGTTGGTGAGAGATTGATGTCATATCGGACGCTCAGAAAGAGCAATGGTGTGTGATGGAGCGCGCCACTTCGAGAAGTGAAACAATGGGCTACTATACTCGGTACGCAACCAAAAGACTCAACCCCAGATTGGGGCGTTGCGGTACGCCGGTGAGTTGTAGCTATGGAGGACTCTGTAGGGCTGGTCACCGTTCGCGTGAACACTACGACTCCGGCTGCGACTTCTGGATAGGCCCGGCTGAACGGCGTCGGGTGAGTAGTATTGTTGCTGTTCCCATTGCTGCTGTTGGATGTTCAAGAGTTGCTGCTGGTAGTAGCTGCCACTTTGGCTCGGGCTCTGATTGGTAGCTGATTGTCCGCGTGCAATAGGTCCCCGGTACTGCGAGTAACTGTCGTAGCTTGATCGATGACGAAGTTGTCGCTGCTGCTGGTGACCCATTGGGTTTGTGGAGGCGCTGCGTGTGACTGGTTGGCCGAACTCAGGGAAAGAACCATTGGTAGGGCGCCACTTGTCTTCACTCGTCAAGCGACGCCTGGCATATTGCTGCTCAAGCATCGTCATGCCCCTACGAGGGCTCATTGGCGGAATGGGCGGCACAGCAACAGCATCGTCGAGTGATGCTCCCATCAACGCCGATGGGTAGCTGTGGATAGTCTCGCGGCTGTTTTGCCTCGACAAGGTCTGTCTTCGACTCGCCTCACTGGATGAGGACGACTGTGGGCGCACTGGCACTGGCTTTCGGGGACTCTTGGTGCTACTGCGGGTGTGCAGACTAACGGGCGGAGAAGTCTTCCTCTTCACTGACATCTCGGGAACCTGCAGTTTCTGAGACGCAAATTCGGAGTGACGGCCTGTCGGAGGCAGAGGCTCGGTGGGACGAAATCGCAGCCCAATCTCACGTTCCATATGCGCCGGCATCGTCAGTGTACGACTGTGTTGGGCCTGAACAGGCTGCTCACGGGGGAGCGCCATGAAAGCTTGGTCGAAGGCACTCTTGCCGACGCTCTCGCCGACATTGTCGATGGCCGTGATGCTCGACTCGAAGCCGACCTGGATCTCGTCGGCTCTGGTTTCGCCGATGAACTCGGCCTTGCTCACGGCGCCGGAAGGCACTGGTTTGCGGTGGATAGAGCGCCGCGGCATGACAGAAGCGGCAGCCTGAGCGAACGAGGCTGGCATGGTCTGGAAAGAACGACGGTAGGGTGACTTGGGCTTCTCAGAGGGTCCAGGCGCCTCTGCTATCGCCTCGCTCACAACTTGAGGCGCATCGACCAGGAGCGCAGAGCTGCGCTTGTCGTCGGCATGGCCGGCATCGAAGCTTCCCACACTGAAAATGGTCTTGAGAGTCTCTTTACTGGCCTGCGCACGAAGGGTCAATCGCTTGGTTGTGATGGGAAACCGACCAGAGTGTTCCTCAAGCTTTGATTGAACATCCTGGGGTACCGAGGGAATCTCTTCGTCAGATGGATGCGTTGCGTGAACGGTCGGAGGGCCTCGCATTCCAGAGCCGCTGAGAAGTCTTTGCAGCTTGCCAGGTTTTTGCAAGCCGTTGCCAATGCTCAAGGAGGAATTTGACTTTTCGGAAACAGCTCCGGGAGAACGAACGGCCGTCGGAGAAGCGGGGCCTTGTTCGGCAGATTGAGTGCTGTCAATCAACGCTGGGGCCGGGGATTTTCGGTCCTTGCGGAAGGAATGACCGGCGCTGAGGTTGAAGAAGAACTTGGGCGATGTGACCGTCATTGTGTCATTAGTCGGAGAGACAAGAAAATCGTCTTTCGGGGGCAGAGATATGGGAACGGAGGGGCCATGTTGTGAAGGATCAACAGAGCAGGTGTCAGCCTTAATAACACTAATTTGCAGCCTGTCGCCGCTGACGGCTACAACTGGGGATGCGGCTGAGTCTGACAGTTCATCGCCCGAATCCTCCGATGCGGCACGGCCAGCTGGACGGCTGCCTGCAGAAGGTTGCTTGGCATGGAACGACCTCAGCGAGACATTGGAACTGTAGCCGGAATCAGCCTTGGAGAGCGGTTTAGGCTGGTGCTCGGTGGTCGGGCTAGCAACGACTCCACTGTCGGCGCGAGCAATTGCTCGGGCATGTTTCTGAGACTGGTCCGCTTTCAGTCGCTCGAGACTTGGTTTTGCATTCGGATCATTTCTGACCGTCAGAACCTCGGCAGAGTACTCCATTTGCACGTCTTCATCTTCTTCCGCAAAAAGGTCGTCTTCCATGGCTGTGTGCTTGGATGATATTTTCAACTCTGGACTGAGTGGCCTATATTTGAGTCAGCGTGAGCCGTCTCGTGGTGCCTTACACAACATGGCGCCGTCTGCACGAATTGGCAAGGGAGACTACTAACGAAGTTGACCGCCGCCTCTGCGACTCCGCCTTTAAAACCGATGTCTTGATCGGACTGAGTGTCTGCGAAGTAGCATTGGCTTGCACTGTCGAGACCGTGATTTCGATGTCCTTGCTCTCAAACCCCGTCCCACCCGATCCGTTCTCGTGACTGAAATACTCCTCAATAGCAACCATTTGCGACTTTTCCGCAATGCTGACCTGAACTGCTGGCTCAAAATCCGGGCTTGGAAGCGGGCTGGCCTCTCCATTCGTGATCCGCAGCGAGCCAAACTTCATAGCACCGAGCGGCCGATAATCCATATCAGAAGGAGTCAAGGCTCTTTCGACAGGTTCACCCACTGGTTCACACAGATACTCGGGCTCCGAGGCGAATCGCTCAGCGACGTATTCTTCCAACGTCGGAATCGGATATGCGCTCGAGTCGATCGATAATGAGTTCATTCGCGAACGCCCTCCTGCTGGCGTTGTAGGCATGCTGTGTCGCACGCTCGACCGTCTAGATGAAGCATATTCTGATGGCATTCGGGTCGCAAGACCTGGGGTTTGAATCATGGAACGTCGCCGTACGGGTGCATACAGTGCCAGGTCTGAGTTGGCTCGGGGCAGAGGCTGAGCGCTGACTGATTGTGCAAGGGCTGGCTGGTGAGGATGCGAACTTTTCCAAGTATTCGGTGACACCTCGAACTTGCTTTCAGACACCATGGAGTTCTCTTCACATGCGGTGAGATCTTCGTTAAGGTTCAGGAGCCTTCTCGATTCGTATGACATGAGATTGTAGTTGATGGATTGACGATTCCCGGGGACATGCCAGCTGAAGCCGCCGTTGGTCAGTGTTTGGGAAGAAATGCTAGGGAGTTGACCGTACCTCTCAACTTGCAACTGCCTGGAATTGTCCATCTGCTGCTGACTCTCCCAGGTCATTGAATTTGCCCTCGACATTCTGTCTGGAACAGGCGGGCTCAGCACCACGCTTTCCCTACGGTTCTGCTTTCTCGGCTCTTGAGAGCTCTTGGATCTGAACAAGCTTGCCCTGCGCTTCCAATCCCTCGCAGGTTTCACTTCTGGGTCCGCCATAGAAGAGGTGCTGGGTGCTCGGGCAACTGCACCAAGATGAGATCCGGCGGGTGCAGAAATAGGTGACGGTGCAGGCGAAGTTTGCCCAGGCAGAAGTCGTGAATTTGATCGAGAGGGTGGCAGACTGGCGGATGCAGCACGTTGTATGCTTAGTTGGCTAGGGGCCGGTAATTGGGGTGTTGGAGAGGCATGATTGCCGACTCTAGGTTTTGATAATTTGTGAGGCGACTTTTTGCTGCTGCTTCCACCTTGTACATGTGATTCATGAAGCGTCTCGGTAGACTGTGCATTGCCCATCTTGACGTGAAGAAGGTGGAACTTCGATATAGCTCCCTAGTCCTCGACCAGATGACAAAAGTCTGCAATCTGGTAAACGTAAAGAAAATCGCCTCGAGGTGGTACGGGTTGCGGATGGCAATGCTCGGAAACGGCCAGCCGATAGAAATTTGGTTACGATGACACTGTTGAAACTGCCATGCCGCGCGAACTGTTATGGAATTATCGACGTTATTTCGTGGGTATTGGGTTGTTGGTTGAGCGACACTCGAGAACTATCTGCAGTAGTGGGAATGGGGAGATGGTCTGATATTCGTCGACCCTTTGTGAGCTGCGCCCTGGATGATTCTCCGTGTCAAGCAGAAAGACTTTGAGGCGGCAATGGGGACGGGCGCAACCAGTGAAAGGAAGAAGGAAAGGGGGAGGGAGGCTCGAGGAGTCTAGTTGATCACCGCCGGAGACCAGCACGAAGAGAGAAAGGCGGTGGTAGAAGGTGGGATAGGCGCAATTAAAGAAGAAGTGGCATGGGTCTGAGCATTTACCACCGGACCAGACCGAGCGAAGCGTCTATCGATTTTGCCAACTCCACATAAGGGAATGCCTGGTCTGTTAACAGAGTCAGTTGCCAGGGTCAGTGGCGAGTTGTGCAGGATTATACAGCAGCGGCAGGCATTCGTATGCGGGAACAGGTGTCTCTGTCTGGGGAGTATTGGACGGACAGCGACGGTCAAGGGCCGGTGCGAGTGTAGGAGGAATGGGCCTCAGATGGCATCTGAGAGATGGACATGGACACCGACAGGAAACCAGGAGGTGGAACTGACGGTGACGACGTACATGGTTTGAGACGCGCAAGGTGGGTTGGGGCACGGTGGAAAAGGGTAGAGTACCGCCTGCGGCAGCGAATGGGCAGGGCTGTTCCAAGTTCCAAGACTGGCTCGTTGTTGGCCCATGCAGGGCTGTAGTGGCATGCGTCTTGGCCAGCGGAACGTGGATGAAGAGGTGCGTTGGTGTGGTAGGGGAGGGAGGGAGAGGGAGTGCCAAGTGGTGTCGGACGGCTATCCGCAAGGGTGTAGCGGCATCAAGTTGCATCGAAGACCCAGCAAAGGCGGAGGCGAGACACAAGAGACCAAGAGGACGAGACGGTGATTGGCGATGTTGGATGGCTGAGGTAAGGTGAAGGTTAAGGTGAGGACAAGAACAGCAAAACAAGTCCAAAGGTACCGTGTACCGGCGACAGTTCTTGTTGTGGGCGCGGCCCGGTTCAAGATGGTGGATGGTCCATGGTGGATGGACATCCAGACGGGATGGAGGATGATTAGGTATGGTATTTCGTCTGATTGATGCCATTTTGCGGTCTGGCCGGGGCCTGGGTATTACAACCTTGGCGGAGACGAGACTAAAGATTGCCCTTGTCCTGCGGTTGAAAAGACTCCACGCCGGGTGTCCAGCCTCTATCCACAAGCCCCCAATCTTTGAATGGTGTCTTGTGCAACAAGCAAAACGTTTACCAGTCCGGCGTCTTGCAGACTGCGACTGCAGCATGTATCCGTATTCCGTACCTATTATCTGGGGTCAGCCACGGCCGTCCGTCCAGTCCGGTCCATGAGGAAGCTTTGTTTGTGTGGCTGCTGAAAGGCTTCTGCGCCGCTGGCTGTGCGCAGAGGCAGTATTGGCAAATACGGATTACGGACACTCTTTGCCCCTCTCTAGCCCCTCCGCTCCGGACCAAAGCTGTAATAATGGTCTACTGGAATGATCTGACACAGTCAGGTTGACCAAGCGAGGCCAGAGTGGGGTTTGATGAGGAGCGTCCGAGATGCAGCAGGCGGATGGGCAGACGGGCAGAGTGCAGATGGGATATGAGGTGAGAATGATGCGAGGAGACTGGCAAGGCGTCATTCCATGTCTTTGATGCACTAGGGCGGGTAGGTAACTCAGGAAGCAAAAGCTCAGCTGGAGGGAGTGTCAGTGTAAGTGAACCGAGAGAGAGAAACGGAGAACCAACAAGGCACGAGGGAGTGTGGCACTTGTGGCTCGGACGCATGTGGATGATGCATCCGGCAGAGTTGATTGGAGTTTAATCGACGACGTGACGCCTGGATCGGGGTTCTGTCTGGATCACCGATGACTATCCGTATATCCGTGATGTACTCCGTACTCAAGTTGTCAAGGTTGTCGTCGTTTCGTCGATAGAGCTCTAGAATGAAGGTCATGTAGGCAGGTAGTCGGCGCAGCAAGCTTGAGCCATTGCTGCAGAGACCCTGATTCTTCGGAGTTGGCATCTCTTGGTCGTCATCATCATTTCAGTTCAGCTTGGTGGTTGCTAATGAGCTGTACGTTTGAGACGATGGAAGGCAGGAAACTAGCACTTGAATTGCATGGTGGCTTGCACTTGCCCGTCTTTGGCGTCGTCAAGCAGCTCGGGATCCCAGAACCGGGTCGACCCCGCTTGCCCGCTTCGCACGCCATGAGGCCCAAGGTTCTCATTCTCACAGAGTCCCAATCTCAAGGTCCTGATCCGCTTGGATGGGGAATTTGGGGGCGTCAGACTCGTTCTGAACGGCGTCTTGGACTTGTTTTAGCGGGAAGCCAATCGCTCAGGCTCCAAAGCTGTCTCTCGTGGGATCCCGCCCGCTAGGGACCTGGAAGGACGTCTTGTCACGCTGTGGCGGCCCAGCTGGCAGCGACATAGGTGGTGATCTCTCTCCTGGCCGTGTCCTAATATTGTCCAGTAGACTAGATGCCGTGAAGGCGCGAGCTAGGCTATCTGCGTCGTTATCTGAGCTGAGGTTTATGCCGGCTGGGGTTCTAGATGGGCCTTGTAACTTGAAGAGGGCGCAAGACAAGGCCCAAGTGCCGGATATGTACCTCCGCCGTTCTGGGTGGCCACGCAGCCATGCCGCCATTCTGGGATTTGTCTTTCCAATTTTCAGTCACTATTGCAGTCGGGTATTGCTTTGAGGAAGCCGCATTGGAACAAGTAAAGCAGAGTACCTACCTTACCTTAGATACATTACGGACCTGGAGTAATAGAACAAGAAAGTCGAAAAGGTTGGTAGGCAAGCAAGCACGGAAGGTGAATGCGGAGAGAAACTTCTTCCCCCGCTTACATGGGCAGATTCTAGATCAAGCCACCACGTTGCGACGCTCCTGCCTCCCTTGTGAGGTATCATGTTCCTGCTCCTTCCTGTTCCTGGTTTTGCGCGTGCCGCCTTCCTCTTGCCGGCGCTTCGTGTGTCGTGCGGCGTGCCATGCCCACGTTGCTGAGGCAGGTGCTTCTGAACGTAACCTCATCATCCTCCTCTCCTCCTTCCTGGCCTACCATCGAGTTCCTGCCTCGCCCAGGCTGCTGTTAATTCTGGTTCGCTTGTCCAGACAGGCAGGCACCTCATGCCCTCCCCTTCCAAGGCCCCGTTTGCTCCCCAGCCTGCCCTAAGTAATCCATTGCATCCATCGTATTCCAGTAAGGCGAGGCACCGCAGTTATTCCTCCGATGCCGACTCGCTTCCAAGTTCTGTCCATCATCATCACATTACATGAGAACTGCCTGAATCGGGACCACTGCCTTTATGCCTTGATCCAGCATACCAATACCAGATCTTGCGTTGGCTGGTCTGGTCACTTGCCATCTCTCCGTGGCCTCGTTTTCGTACGGGGTACCGGGGTTGCGACGCCAACCTCTTACAATGGCCAGGTGCCAACAAGGATGCTTCCCCTCAACCATGGAGAGGCAGAGACCGAGAGGAAGAGACGGTTGCTGCTACGGATACCTACTCACTCCTCTGGACGACATTTGCGTGCCCGCGGACCAGCACGGCAAATCAACCGTTCATCTCTGCTTGTCCCATCTCGGCCGCAATCCGGATTGTCTCTCTTGCGCGGCATGCATCTCCCTTTCAACCACTATCGAACCCAAACCAACCTTGACGAATTCCTTACGCAGCACTAGTGTAAGCAGCTGTGTGGCAGTATCCGTCGCCTCTCCGTCGTGCGGTGTGCCATATCCCTCGTCTGAGGCTCAGATCTTCTCAGAAAGTGTGCCCGTTTCAGATTGTGCCACTTGACTTGATGGGTCAATCGGAAGTTGCAAAGACCAGCATATCCTCATCAATTATCCCCGGCTTGCCCGCAACTCAGGCAACATGCTTGGTCAGGCCAGCACCAGTCCCCAACATCCCCGATGCAGTTCGTGCATGCGAAGGGATGCCCGTCGTCGATCATCGGCTGCCAACAGCCACTCTTTCAACGTCGGACAACGCTATCTGAGACCACCCACTCCCCGAAACCGGCTCGTCAGAGTCGTCACTCTCGCCCTAGTGTCGCTTGTTGCGATAGCACTCAAAAATTGAGGAATTAGGTGTCGACATTCAGACGAGGGTCAAGCAGCGTATTCGTTTCCTGCATCGAAGCACTCTATTTGGCACGCCATTATCCTGCTGTTCTTCTCAGATGACCGAGACATTCGCTCTATGTCGTTCATTTTCGGCAACTCTCAAGACACCGAGACAAGATACATCGTCAGTTGTCCTGCGATACGGCCCGGGGGACGAATGCTCTGGTATGGAGACTCTACTCCCCGCCCAAGATAGCCTCATCAGACACCAAGGGCGGGCAATCTCCCCCACTTTGAATTAGCTCTGTCGCCCCGACAAACAAGGTTCAGGGGCCTGCGAAATTGCCCTTCCTACTCTGGCTGCTTCCTCATTTAGAGCACCAAAGACCGAGAGACAAAAGAGAAAAGACGACTCATCAATCTTTCATCATACCGAGCTCATTGTCCGAAGCTGTAATATGCCTCGCCGGTTTCCAGTGTTACCGGTCCTCCACACCCGACGGAGGTGGTCAACGAAGGATGCTCCGGCTCATTTTGCAAAACACGTGTTGGGAACGTCATATAGACACAGAGGACCTGTTTTCGGGCTCGGCTGCCCACGCTGGATTGCGAAGTGGCCCGCTAGGTGACACGGGCAACGATCATGATCGAGATTGGTCATTCTCGTTCTGCAGTGGCTGCACAAGTCCGCGAATACTCCCATCAACTATTTTCCGAATGGCCGGGTTGACAGCAAGGGTGACGGGTCACGTCTTCGCGGACAAAATCCTAGCGGCGTTGCACGGTAGTAATCGCCAAAAGTGCGCGCATTTTTTTTGTTCTATTTAGGCACCGTAATTGTATCGTAGCATGCCTGGCCTACTAAGCCAGGAGTATCTGTACCAGCTTCGGACACGGAAGAAAACGAGACACAGCGCGCTGCTGCTATGCACTGCAACTCCCCCGGTCACAGTCCATCGCCCGTACCAGCGTGGACCGGTACTTGTGCCGCTCGACTCGTTGAGGATTTGGTATCAAGCGTTAACAGCACGAACCCCCCCCCCCCCCGAGACACGCCACCAATTCTTTCTCGTTCGGCCGAAGTAGCAGACAGGTGTTCCCTAGGATCTCTCGCACTCCAAGGACCATACCAGTTCGCGTGCGAACAAACGATGCCCATCAACGAAGTATCGACTACCTCGCCAGCTCAACTGGCTTTAGCGGTGGGCGGTGTTTCCGCCGTTCAAACTTATCACGTCTGCTATCGACCCGAACCCCACCAGCCCGCAGCACCACTGAGACTTCTAGATTGGACTACGGATTCTTCCCGACGACGTTTATCGGCACCATCCTTGTCTCTGGACTGTCTACTTTCCTTCCTTTGGAGGATGTTAGGTGAGAATGGGTTCTTGGGTGAACGAACGCTACATGGTCAACTGCCACTCACCGTCTGATACTGCCCACTCACACGAGGGAATCCTCCCCGTTGGACCCAACTAATGCAGTTTCTTCAAACACCCGATTCTTGCCTGTCGAATCACAAGGAGTCGGAGCCACTATGATGATCAAGCAGCACCGACGGGATGTGTTCCTCTTCGGAGCAGCTTCGGAGCAAACTGCAGATGTCGGCACGGCAAGCTCCATAAAATAAGGCCCGATGATCATGCAACCTGAAAAATGCCCGCGCCGCGAGCCGTCGCTGCTTGGGCGAGATTGGTCCCCGCGCCTCTTTATCCCCTTCGAGAGATTGATTCACGAAGTACGGATAGGCATCTCAAAGTTGACCGGCGCACGACATATGTCGGCTACTCGGAAAAGTACAAAACATGACCATACTACCAAACTCAACTTCATGCGAAACTTGCACAAGCGTGGTCCATGTCACAGAGTACGTGACTCATCGCACGCGCTCTTTCACGACCCAAACATGATCAAAGGATCGAGCCTTTCCATGGTTTTCCCCCCTTCCGCCAGCGAATGAGCGAATTCAAGCAACACCTCGCAGACTCATACAACACAGTCGTCTGGTCTTGAG